TAATGATACATAAGTGAAAGACCAATCGGAGCACGACCATTGTCAGTCTTCCCCAGTTCTCAGGCAGTACAGTAAGCTGCTCATACACAGTCTATTTCTCTCTGCAGCTGCTGTGTGGATGTGAGGACTGGGTTCCACCGTAACCTCAGACTCAGCTGAGATTGTTGAGCGGGTGGGGGGGACAGGGTAGGGGTGTACGTGCACTGCCAGAGAGAGACAAAGGAAGAGAGTGAGAGAGTGTGGGTGGCAGCATGTAACAGTTAGAGCTGCTGAAAAGAGGTTCAAGTGTACTTCAGCCAACCTTATTATATTATCATTATCACTTATTTTCCTTGCAGCTACACTCACACACAGTTTGGCCACAAATGCAGGGCAAAGCAGCTGTGTGTATGAGAAAAAGGCAGGGAGGGAAAAAGGCAGACATGATGAGTGGTGTGGTGGTGTGTAGGCCCAGTGGTTTTCATTAATAGTTTATGGTTCGATTATTGATTGGCCATGAGAACTTGATCACACTGAAGCCTAAAAACACTCCTTAAGATGATAGCCTCTCAAACTGGGGGTCGATGGTCAAATGTGCATCCACTGCATTAGACGATCCAAAGCCATACGGCAAAACCTCCACAGAAATGTAATCAGACCATCCTTTAATATAGTTATTATTAAGGTAGCCTAAATATCCAGATTTACTTAACTTAGTCTTTTCTTTGCAGCTATTTACCGTATGTTGCACGTTTTATCCAGTTAGTTTATTAGTCAGATTCAGTTCTGTATGGACCAAAAAGTTTAGTTGTATTTATTTAAAAAGGCTGTCAGTGGGGATTTTATTGGTTTCTGAAATTCAAATTGGCACAGCAGTGCAAAGAGTAAAGAAATATAATGAAATATACATTTTAAACACTATAGTAGAATATGATAAGCTGTGTAGGTAGCTGTGCATGTGCGGTGCTTCTCAAGTGTTATGCGAAAAATAAAGTCTGTCAAACATTTAGTCAGTCACTGATGAGAGATGATGAACATTATGGTAGCAGTTGAGGCTGGGAGGAAAACCTCCCTGGTTTGGCCACAAGCCCAGTTTAGTTGATGTGTGTAAGGGGGTGTGTTTGACACACTCTCAGCACTTCAAGAGCACTTTGTTCTGTTTTCCAACGACAGCGGCCTGGATTAGTGACAGCATTAAGAGAATGAGAGCGTTGATGTGGCAGGACCGCTTCCTCCTGTAGCTGTATCCTTGCCTTATTTGACCCTCTTCACTCTTACTATTATGCCCTTGTGGCCAATGTAAATCAATGACCAGGACGGGTTAATGGCACTAATGGATGTGGCAAGCATGTTTTATACATGTGAGGAGGAGCAGATATACATGATGTATATCTGATCCTCCTCACAGATGATCTGTCTCGTGCTATCAGCATAAATATGACCAAAAAAAAGTTGAAACGTTTCCTACTGTTGCTTTACACTTAGTAAAGAAGAAGTCTGTTTAGCCATACAGCGAAACACGCTTTTCCCTCACCTGGTGATCCGCTCAGCCCCCGGTTGCCAGGATTTTCAGGACGACCAGGGATGCCACCAGTCAGCCCGCCGGGAGGTCCAGGAGCACCGGGAATACCATTATTGCCGCCGTCTCCACGCTCTCAGTCCAGGAACACCGTAACGGCCGTCGACACCTGACAGAAGAAGAAAGAATTGGTCACACATTTTACAGCAGATGCTTCCACTACTGATGCCACTAAAACTTCTAATACTACTTCTAATACAACTACTTGTTGCCAGTTTAGGTAGACCTAGCTAAAAAGAATGAAGTCTAATACAGTCCTGCAATAAATCACAACTTCATGAGTGACGCCCTGGAACACCATCCTTCCCCTTGGCTCTGTCACAACTCTGTCCTGGAGAACCCTGAACTCCAGAGTCCCCTCTGGGTCCAGGAAAACCTGCATGGAGGAAACAGCAGAGGTGATTAAGAGGGGAGATTGAAGTCAGAATCACTTTATAATACTAACAGTGATAAAGTGAAAGCACTGTAACAATGAGGTCATAAAACTGTCTCTGAATTAGAAGTATCAGATTATCTTCAGTCAATAAATCTACAGCCCAGATGACTGAAACAGCTTGTGTAAGTATGGGAAAAAACCCTCAATGATTGTGTTTAACAAATGTAATCTAATGAATGATGTTATCTCAGCTCGCTCTTGTCAGAATAGTTCCCTGCCAGACAGTAAGTACTGGCCCTAACTACATGTGTAATCCATTATATGTGTGGTCTTAAGGCTGCTTTACATTTACAGTGCTAACATATATTTAGGAAATACTTACTAACACCTCAGTCTGCTTATAGTCTGTATCATACTTGTTAATCCTAAATAGAGGTAAGACAGTGATAGTGTGCACATGATCGCCACCATCTTGCTGTTATTAGGTTGATCCTTATCTTTGAAAACAAACAAACCCTTAGTAATTCATTACACAGTATCTAACCTGGAAACTATCTGAGCCTCCAAATCAGTGGTCACACTTAAAGGACTGAATCCTCCACTTCCCTTATTCTGGCCTTAACATACATTCTTCCACTGAGAAAAAACAAACATTCATACAAATCAAATATAATTACAGCACTCTCTGTCTATGTTTATCTGCCACAGCTGTGAGTCACTACAAGGCCCAGTGTTGGTAGCGGTGTGCTGACAGAGAGAGGAAGAGACAACACTTGTATAGCGGCAATTAAACAAAAGTTATCTCAGCAACATTTTCCAAGAGCAGACCGTACTTCAAGTGTACTTCAGCCAACCTTATTATCTTATCATTATCACTGATTTTCCTTGCAGCTACACTCACACATTCAATTCAATTCAATTCAATTCAATTTTATTTGTATAGCGCCAATTCATAACAGAAGTTATCTCAGGACACTTTTCAAATAGAGCAGGTCTAGACCGAACTCTTTAACATTAATTACAGAGACCCAACAGTACCACCATGAGCAAGCACTTGGCGACAAGGGCAAGGAAAAACTGCCTGTTAAAAGGCAGAAACCTAGGACAGATCCTCCGGCTCTAGGTGGGTGGTCGTCTGTCTCGACCAGTTGGGGTGAGAGAGAGAGAGAGAGAGAGAGAGAGAGAGAGAGAGAGAGAGAGAGAGAGAGAGAGAGCGACAGACAGACAGACAGGTGCACAGCAACAACAGTATTGGCAATGGCAGTCAAGCAGGACCATGGCAGGAGGCTCCACCAGGATCCATGAGAACCTGCGAGACGAGAAAGCACAAGAACTCCGGGGACTCACCTGATCCAGCCCTAACTATAAGCTTTATCAAAGAGGAATGTCTTAAGCCTACTCTTGAATGTGGTGAGGGTGTCTGCCTCCCGAACCACAACTGGAAGCTGGTTCCACAGGAGAGGAGCTTGGTAACTGAAGGCTCTGGCTCCTGTTCTACTTTTAGAGACTATAGGAACCACAAGTAGCCCAGCATTCAGAGAACGTAGTGTTCTAGTGGGGTAATAGGGTACTATGAGCTCTTTAAGATATGAAGGGGCCTGATCATGAAGAGCTTTATAGGTGAGGAGGAGGATTTTAAATTCAATTCTACATTTTATAGGGAGCCAATGCAGAGTAGCTAGTACAGGAGAGATGTGATCTCTTTTTCTAGTTCCTGTCAGTACTCGTGCTGCAGCGTTCTGAATTAATTGGAGCGTTTTAATGGACTTATTGGGGCAACCTGATAATAAAGAGTTGCAGTAATCCAGCCTTGAAGTAACAAATGCATGGATTAGTTTTTCTGCATCTGTCTGTGATAGTATGTGTCTAATTTTTCTAATATTACGTAAATGGAAGAAGGCAGTCCTAGAGGTCTGCTTTATGTGGGAGTTAAATGACAAATCCACATAGTTTGGCCACAAGGGCAGGGCACAAAGCAGCTGTGTGTATGAGAAAAAGGCAGGGAGGGAAAAAGGCAGACATGATGAGTGGTGTGGTGGTGTGTAGGCCCAGTGGTTTTCATTAATAGTTTATGGTTCGATTATTGATTGGCCATGAGAACTTGATCACAGTGAAGCCTAAAAACACTCCTTAAGATGATAGCCTCTCAAACTGGGGGTCGATGGTCTAATGTGCATCCACTGCATTAGACGATCCAAAGCTATACGGCAAAATCTCCACAGAAATGTAATCAGACCATCCTTTAATATAGTTATTATTAAAGTAGCCTAAATATCCAGATTTACTTAACTTAGTCTTTTCCTTGCAGCTATTTACCGTATGTTGCACGTTTTATCCAGTTAGTTTATTAATCAGTTTCAGTTCTGTATTTACAAAGACCCAACAGCTCCCACCATGTGCAAGCACTTGGCAATGGCGGCAAAGAAAAAACTTCCTATGAAGAGGCAGAAACCTCAGACAGCCCCTGGCTCTAGGTGGGGGCTATCTGCCTCGACCGGTTTGGGTTGGAGAGGGAGAGAGGGAGAGAGGGGGGGTAGAGGGATTAGTAAGGGAAGTTAGTGACATGCATTAATGGGACATGATTGTGGGCAGAAGGAGAGGGAGAATGTGTATGCACAGCTACAGGGCAGTACTGTTGAAGGCACTGAGGCAATGTTATTTTAGTGCTGGGCGGGGACCATTGATCCACTAGTCCATTTATTAGACAGGAGTGCTGAAGAGCCACATGTGGGTTCAGCAGGAGAGCAGGGGGAGAAGAAAAAACAGTCAAACAAATGGAGATGGTTCATTAAGAAGAATATTATAATGTGTATTTATAAATGTGGTTGTCTTGGGTTAGGAGCAATACAACTTATAAAATGTAGTTTTCCACTTGCAGAAAAGTGATTACAGCTCCTACCTTACCTAGATTCTCTACCCCACAATGATTTGATTTTACTTATAATTGTTCTATTTTGCATATCATTGCCTACCTAGTAACCTTTACCGATTGAAATATCTTCAAAAGGACAATACAACCAATAAAATTCAGATTTCCACTTGCCAAAAAGTGATTACAACTCCTACCCTGTCGCTGAAAGGATTCCTCTTATTCCCCAGGAAGTAAGAAAACACCCACCCAGGACAGGGAGCACGCAGGGCAAGTAAAGCCAGATGACGACTCTAGAGACAAGTGTGAGTCAGACACCCTCAGAGTTCAGAGCTGCTCAAGGTCAGAGAGGAACAGTAGCATTACTTCATCCTGCCTTGTTGGACCTATAAAGGACATTCAGTGTCCTTCAACATAATTGAATAATCCTTAATGTATGTCTATTCTATGAAAGTGTGCAGGCCTAGCAGCAGGAATGTGAAGGGAAGCATTCATTCTCATTGACTGTTTGTTTGTGATGATGTTAGTTATGATTGTAGTTAAGTTAATATTTTGTTTGGTTTTCCCTTCTTAGCTCTCACAGTGTGTTCACAGCATGTTTTTTTTTTTTTGGAGCTAAGGTAGCATCAATTAAGTTTTTGTGAACCATCAGTTGGAGAGTAAGAACATTATTCAGCTGGGGATATCACAGTAACACTATGGAACATGTTTCCAAGGTGACTCCATGATTGAAGCAGGTTGAGCCGCATGCCAGCAGTAAAAAATGTCATAGTTTCCCTGGGAGTTGTCCTCTTGTTCACTTGGATTGTACAGTTGAGCTGTAGTCCCAGTGAAAGAACTTGGAATGCTGCGATTAGACTCCTGCTACATGTCAGACACAACGGCACATGCCAACATCAGGAGTTAACCTGAATAGTCACACAAACAAAAGGCTGGTATGTGAATCAGAGAAGTCAGACTGTCACATATCCTCGGGGTGTGTACAGCGTGCCCTGATCCTGGAGCACACCACCAGTAGAAATGGGACTTTTTCTGATCCATCAGCCTAATATTGTCATGAGTCATTCCTGTTTACCTTGCATCCTCCCCAACCCCTGCCAGCTATGCTGCACAATAACTACTTTTTCAGGATTTACACCTGTTATCAACATGCAAGCTGCTCAAGGTCAGAGAGGAACAGTAGCATTACTTCATCCTGCCTGCTTCCAGGGCCTGACAGTTCATATATCAGTTCTGCTGGAACTATAAAGGACCTTCAGTGTGCTCCAACATAATTGAATAATCCTTATTGTATGTTTATTCTATGAACGTGTGCAGGCCTAGGAGCAGGAACGTGAAGCATTAATTCTCGCTGTCACTCTTTTGTCTGTTTGTTATGATGTTAGTTATGATTGTAGTTAACTTAATATTTTGTTTGGTTTTCCCTTCTTAGCTCTCGCAGTGTGTTCACAGCATGTTTTCTTTTTTTTTGGAGCTTTTGGAGTAAGAACATTATTCAGCTGGGGATATCACAGTAACACAATGGAACATGTTTCCAAGGTGACTCCATGATTAAAGCAGGTTGAGCCGCATGCCAGCAGTAAAAATGTCATATTTCCCCTGGGAGTTGTCCTCTTGTTCACTTGGTATACGTGTGTACAGCATGGCCTGATCCTGGAGCACACCACCAGTAGAAATGGGACTTTTTCTGATCCATCACAACATAAACCACAACAAAGTAAAGGAAGAACTACTATAACTCTTCTCTCTTTCTAAACTGTGTTCAGACTCAGACTTTGTCCTTCTGTTTTCCACACAGAAAACTGATCAGAAATCAATACGGGAATCCACAAAGACTCCACCGATAGAAAGAATAAATTATGGTAATGGTCCCATTCCTAACCAGTGAAAACAGTTATTAACTGTAAGCGGGTCTGCACAAAGACCTCTCTGTGCATGTGGTTCCTTTGTGGTTTTGTCTTTTTTTTTTTGCCCCTGACCCATGTCAAGTGTTAGATCAGCTGTTCCAACTCTTATTTTTCTATAGATGAGAGGATTGTGACACAAAAATTGAAGATGTGAAAGGAACAAAACATGAGAGTCATCAAGGGGCTAATATGCCAGATATAGCGCGGGTAAATAAGAAGAGAATGTAGCATATTCAAAGGTCAAGGCCAGAAAAAGAGAAGTCCAATGGATACCTGAGGGTTGATTGCAAAGGGTCAGCTGACTGTGCTCTGAGTCTGGCATGGTCATGTCTGACTGGGATGGGAATACCAAAACATCCCCTCTCTCTGCAATTCATCTCACTCTCACTTCCTTTTAACTGCCCCTATAAGGGCATTAGAGAGACTGTAGTTCCTAAAGTCTTCAGAGGGCCATGGGAAGACCAGAAGTAACTCCTCTCACTCTGTATATTAGATCATATTGTTTGTTTGACTGAGAATTGTATTACATTACCAGCCCTGTTACGTACATTATTTCTTAAATAGCATGGATCTTTTTAAAGATAGTTTTGGTTAGTGTTCTCCTGCTATTATCACACATGTAGATCGATACAGAGTTGCCACTGATTGTGAGGACGGCCATGATACAGTGGGTGTTACTGAAGGAGACATTTTTAGTTTGTTTATTAAAGAACTACAAGACGTCTGCGATAAATATGACGCAATCACTGCGCGTCCTAACAGGCGTGTGACACCGTCGGTCAGGACCTCAGACAGCTGTCCAGCACAGGCCCTGAGCACACGTCCAGGGATGCCATCAGGACCAGCAGCCTTACGTGCATTAGCCCTGCTCAGAGCAGCACACACGTCGGTGTGGGAGTTAAATGACAAATCCTGATCAAAGCGGAGTCCTGTTGTAGCAGAAGAGGAAGCTGTGACCACACCCAGAAAATCGCTCTGCATTTCATCTCGTGGAGTGTAGTGGAGTGCAGGCAGAGACACACACACACAGGCAGAGACCAGCAGTCACACTTCAAGAGAGCTTTGTTAACAGACAGTCAGAGCTCATGATGTCAAGGCTCTCACTCCTGTTCGCATTCCTCTTGTACCCTGTAGGCTTTGGAGAACCTGTGCATGTGATTCTGGGAGACCCGGTGTCATTCCCAGTAATCGGGAACTGTCTGAATGAGCCGGTAGACAGACTTTACCGGGTCACAGAGCACAGCAACCGGCCGGTGGCTGCTCGTGAGGACGGTGTCTGCAAACCGGCCGAGGACTACAAAGACAGGGTGGATGTGAACTCCTGCTTCGCCTTCAGTCGCTCAGTTTACACAGATACTGGACTTTATGAGCTCACCTGCGGCAGCCGGGATCAAAGAGTCCAGCTGAATGTTGTTGTGGGCTCTGAAGCATCTGCCACTGAGGGACAACCGGTCCAACTACCGTGCTACTTCAGTCCTGCAGGGGGACATGTGGACTCTATACGGTGGGAAAGAAACGGACACACTGTGCTGGAGCGCAATCTGGCCACTGGAAAGACCAAATACGGGACCGGGTTTGAGAGAAGAGTGTCTCTGCCGGCTGATGGCCACAAACACGGAGACTGGTCTCTGATGTGGGATCAGGTCCGGCTGGAGGATGGAGGGGATTTCTTTTGCTCTGCGCACAGGGGGGACGTGAGAGAGGGATGGGGAGACCCTGCTGCTGTGAGGATGAAGGTCACCAAGAGAAACCCGGATCAGACGACCCCTCACCCACCGCACACTGTAAGTGTCTCACTCTCAGGTCTCATGCAGTCTAATAATGCGAGTTCAACTTAAAGCTCTGTTCTTTCACAGTGCTCCACTGCAGAGAAACACTTGGGAACCGGGGCCATTGTCGGTGTAACAGCAGCTGTGGGACTTTTTGTTGTTGACCCTGTTTTCTCTGCTGGTTCCTGAACTCTCACTTCTCATCTGGTTCCAGTGGAAAAAGATATTCTGATGCAAGTCTTCAGGAGTCTTTTAAGGATTAAATAGAAGTCCCTGCCGTTATTAAGTTACCATTGTTGCCCTTTTTATAGATCTCCTTGTTTGTTTTCTCATCTCTTTTAATTTAACCTTCTCTCGTTTTATCTTCCCTATGTTTGTGTGATTGGGTATGGTTATACCTATATGTATATTTGTTGTTTGTAAAGCACTTTGGACACTGTGTCAAAAAGGTGCTATATAATTAAAGCTTTACTTACTTACTTACTTACTTACTTACTTACTTACTTACTTACTTACTTACTTACTTACCATAGCACAAAGCAACAAAATCAGTAATGCCTTAGTAGCCTAATATTGTCATGAGTCATTCCTGTTTACCTTGCATCCTCCCCCACCCCTGGCAGCTATGCTGCACAATAACAACTTTATCAGGATTTACACCTGTTATTAACATGAATGACAATTCAACTTTTCTTATATTGTACCTTTTACACAAACATGCAGCTCAAAGTGCATCACATAACATATTGAAAGCACACATAAAACCAATGAAATGTAAAACATGAAAAGTGAGTTCAACAGTTAAGGGGCATAAAAACCAACCAACTTCTGCTTTTGTTGTTTTTCTATATTTCCTTATGTTCTTTGTGAAAGCTTTTTTTATTTTTGGTCACAATCTCACCAGCCTGTTGTATAAATAAAACTTACACTGAGTGAAAATGTCTCTGGTCTCTGTGTGTTCTTCCTATGGCGTTGACTCATGGCTTCCCACACTTCTACACATTTAACTATTTAATATGTGTATTTAGCATGTGTAACCCTCAGTCTCAGTCTCTCAATGAATTGTACTGACAAAGGGCTTTTGCTGTGTAGTTAGCTGTTTATTTGGCAGTATATGTATTATGCTTTTATTTTTTTCTTAAAGCTCTGGTTTAGGTTCAGTGTATTAAAAAAAACTGTGGATATGGCAGACTTCACAAAGACTTGTTTTTGGATAGCCTTTTCTAATAGTGCTAAAGCATGGCCTATGTAGGCTATTGGAAAAACACATTCCTGTTTCTGCTGTCTTATCTGTGAAAAACATCAGAAAGTGGTTTCTTTTGCAGGTTATAAGAACATGTGCAAATATGTCCAGATCTGGTTTAGATAGGCAACCTGTCTCTTTCAGTGTTTGTGGTAAGAAGCTCATTTTGAAACACTCTTTGGAAACTATTGCTGCCCCCACAATGATGTTAGACAAACAGCTTTGGGCCTGTACAGTGAGTCCCTGGGGACCAAGTGTATGTGTGTGTGTGTGTGTGTGTGTGTGTGTGTGTGTGTGTGTGTGTGTGTGTGTGTGTGTGTGTGTGTGTGTGTGATATATGAAGTCATGCACAGAGGATGGGTTGTGGTAAACATAGGAAATATGGTGATCACGTGAGTTTTCTATGAAGCTGGGCTATGACTACAGACTTGGTTTCAAGTCAGATTTAAGTCGTGTCATACACTTTTGACTCTACTAGTTCTGACCTGAGCCAGCCGTCACTATAAGATTTATCAAAGAGGAACGTCTTAAGACTGTTAAATGTGGAGAGGGTGTCTGCCTCCCGAACACAAACAGGAAGCTGGTTCCACAGGAGAGGAGCTTGGTAACTGAAGGCTCTGGCTCCTGTTCTATTTAGAGAGTATAGGAACCAGCAGTAGCCCTGCATTCAGAGAGCACAGTGTTCTAGTGGGGTAATAGGGTAGGTTGATCTTTGCAAACAAACTCTTAGTTTTTCCTTAGACAGTATCTTATCCTGGACACTATATAATCCCCCAATCGGTGCTTTAAATGTTCCACTGCCCTTTTACTTAACATAAATCCTTCTGTCTTGAATGAGAAAAAACACAGATCAGATGTAATCTCAGCACACACCACCGTGTAGTTACTTATTGACCAAGACAAAACAAATATTATCTGCTGGCATCTCGGCTCATTTTACACAATCATTGCATCAGAGCTTACAGTTTTCACAGAGGAAAGTATTAATGTAATAATTCATGTGTTTTCTATTACAGCTGCAGGGCACTGAGCTAATGGTATTCTAGTGCTGGGTGGGGAGCATTGATGCACTATTTAATTTATGAGACAGGAGTGTTGAAGAGCCAGGTGGGTTCAGCAGGAGAGCTGGGGGAAAAGAAATAGGGTCATCCCCTCTCTCTGCCAGTCATCTCACTCTCACTTTCTCTTAACTGCTCCTTCAAGGCACGTACACCTGACCACACCACACAGTGACAGGAAGTGACCCCCCGAGTCGTTACTGTCTAGTGCATCAACATGATCATGCTAATGGTAGGTGTGGAAGCTGGTGGTGAAGGTGACGGGTGGTGTTTCAGGGGAGAGAAAAAAGGACTTAAAGCAGTGATACTGGATAATATTGAGGGTGTTGTAGTGATTGAAGTTAAGCTGTTTAAAGTAGTAGCAGAGGTCATATTCCTGTTACACTGTCACGAAAACATTTCACAGCTCACATGATCAACAGGAAGATGCATCATTGAGGGACATGGGAAGACCACAAGTAACATAAATAAGATCATATTGTAAATATTGTAGATTACTACATTTCAAATACCTGCTGAAAGGTCTGGTTACAAAAAAAAAAAACCTGGCAACCTGACAATTACACATATTGAATAAGTAAACAAACAGACAAATAGCTTTGGGCCTGAACAGCAAGTCCCCGGGGGTCATTAATCATTAAAGTGTAGAGAGAGATTCAGCGTGATGTTCAGGTGAAATAGGCAAATATGTCCATAAATCCACTTATAATTACGTGATAGTTGCCAACAGGAAGTGCTGGTAGCTGATTCATAATTTTAGTATTACTCACTGGCAATGCACAGCAGTGTTATCCTTCCTGTTTGCAGCATTAGAGCGACTGTAGTTCCTAAAGTCTTCAGAGGGCCATGGGAAGACCAGAAGTAACTCCTCTCACTCTGTATATTAGATCATATTGTTTGTTTGACTGAGAATTGTATTACATTACCAGCCCTGTTATGTACATTATTTCTTAAATAGCATGGATCTTTTTAAAGATAGTTTTGGTTAGTGTTCTCCTGCTATTATCACACATGTAGATCGATACAGAGTTGCCACTGATTGTGAGGACGGCCATGATACAGTGGGTGTTACTGAAGGAGACATTTTTCTTTGTTTATTAAAGAACTACAAGACGTCTGCGATAAATATGACGCAATCACTGCGCGTCCTAACAGGCGTGTGACACCGTCGGTCAGGACCTCAGTCAGCTGTCCAGCACAGGCCCTGAGCACACGTCCAGGGATGCCATCAGGACCAGCAGCCTTACGTGCATTAGCCCTGCTCAGAGTAGCACACACGTCGGTGGGGGAGAGTGTGAGGGGTTGGTGGTCTGCAGGGAGCGCAGCCTTGATCGCCGCCTCCTTGTTCTCCCTGTCAAAGCAAGCATAAGAGTTATTGAGCTCATCTGACAAGGAGGCGTCACCGGTGGTTGGTGTGGTGGTGTTGGTCGGTTTGTAGTCTGTGATGGCCTGGACGCCTTGCCACATGCGCCGGGGGTCGGAGTTATTCCCACAAAGCAACGTTACAGGACCAAACAACAGTAACGTAGTAACTGTAACTGTCTTTGGAAACTTACATGAAGAAAAACAAAAAAAACCACAGCTGTACCTAAGTGGAGAAGCGTCTGTCTTCCTGTCTGTCCTCCTGTCTGTCACAATCTAGAGTAGAGTAAAAGTGTGTCTGGCCTCTGTGTTCTTCCTGTGGCGTCGACTGATGGCTTCCCACACGTAGACAGCGGGCTCTCCCTCCCCCTCTCTCCCTCAGACTGTAGGGTCATTCCTGCCTTACGATTATCTGCTGCCTTACAGCCTCACTTATGGTTATTGGTTTATTTTCATTAAAAGCCCCTTGCACCTTTTTTAACTTTTTGAAGAGGCATTTTTTAATTGTCAGAGTACTTGTGAGTTTTGTTCTCCAAGTTTTTTTAGACTCCTCTCCCCTGAGCTGAGATCTGTGGAATCAGTACCACCACATAACTGTTTCTAAATATAATGTAATTCCTTGTCTTATTTGAGCACTGTACACATTTAACTATTTAACATGTGTAACTGTGTATTTAGCATGTGTAACCCTCGGGCTCAGTCTCTCAATGAACTGTACTGGCAAATGTCTTTTGCTGTGTAGTTAGCTGTTTATTTGGCAGTATGTGTGGCATGCTTTTATTTATTTCGTAAAGCTCTGGTTTCTGTGGATATGGCAGACTTTACAAAGACTTGTTTTTGTCTTACCTGTGAAAAACATCAAGAAGCAGTTTCTTTATTTTGCGGGTTATAAGAACACAATATTTCCAGATCTGGTTTAGATAGGCATAGGCATAGCTCATTTCGAAACACAGGCCAGCTGACAGTCTTGCCTGGGCCCAGGATGAGATCATCTTAGATGCCCCTCCACGCCCAGATCTCTCCTTTTCCTCTGCTCTTCCTCTCCTTCCAATAACAATGTTTGTGTGCACGGTTGCTTTCATGTTCTGGAAATCTCTCATAAAGCTTTCTGTAAATTTATGGAATTTAGCACACTAGTCGACTTTTTCTCTACTTCAAAGGAGAACAGCAAGCATGGTAGGCAAAATAAGGCCTTTATTGAGCTGCTACATACTATCCAGTCCCATTTTTTCCCTTCACCGTCACCACCTTTTTTTAAATATTTAAAATCTCTAAGGCCTCTTTATTTTCTGACCGGACCTTTTTAGCGTACTGAACTTCAAATCAACTACAACATCAAATTTCGATCAGTGGCCAAACCATTTTTGTGTTGGGGGTGGGGGGGGTTCTTGACCACAATTAAAAGGAAGAACACAAATAAAAAGATGTTATGTAACTAAAATTTTACACTCCCCCCCCCCCAACAGACTCGTTTGTCCCCCCCATCGGCGGGCGTGTTGAAACACTCAAAATGAGGTATGTGGAAACTATTGCTGCCCCCCAATTATGTTACAAATTACAAACAGCCTAAGATAAGATAAGATAAGATAAGTGTGTGTGTGTGTGTGTGTGTGTGTGTGTGTGTGTGTGATGTATGAAATCATACGTCAGAGGATGTGTTAACAGGGACATTTTGGTCCACACGTGAGTAACTGTTTTCTATGAAGCTGGGCTGTGACTACAGATTTAAGTTGTGTCATACAATTTTGACTCTACTACTTTAATTTAGCAGCTGTTTACTTTGTAGACTAAGAGTTAATATAGGGCCATCTTACAATAGATAGAGTATGACTTTCAAATGAAATAGTCTAGTAAGTCCATAAATCCACTTATAATTTATTGATAGCTGTCTGTACATCCAGCGAGTACACAGCCAACAGAAACTGCTGATTCATACTTTTAACAGTGCAAGTCAATAACAGGATTACTCACTGGAAACTCACAGCATGGTTATTCCCAATAGAAGTAAGACAAAAAAGATTCATGCAAATAAAGATACATATATATATATAAATAAGATATAAACAAGATTTAAACTTTTTCTTGGACTAAAGCTCAGTGTCAAGATGGGGTGGGGTGGGGGGGTTCCTGTTTTTAATGCTGTGATGTTGTAAGTGTATTGCGCCAGGTTTATTAACCCACCACCACATATCCTGTTATTTTGATTTGTTTTTGACCGTCACACCCTCCAATTCATAAATAGGTGAAGGAAGTGATGAAGTAAGGAGTCGCAATATCAGGAAGTGAACCTGTTAAGTCAAGACAGCCTGTTGGCAAACAATACCAGTATGTGCATGAATCTCTAAAGATAAATAAGTGGATTAAAGACTAAATATTTATGTTTAGGTAGAGTAAGTGTGAAATTCTGTGATTTTATTGAGCTATTTGTTAGGACAGTGTCTTCCTTTTTACACAGCACTCTTTCAACTAAACCAGAAAACAACTGAGATCTTTTCATTTGGGACAACAGCCAGCTATCATCAACCGCCATCAGAGCCCTCGGGCCTCAGCAGAGTCCCTAATGAAAAAATCAATTCAATTTAACGAACCAAATCGACTCAGTTGTCGGCTAGTGTCCATTATCGTAAATCACTTTCAAAATGTATATCATTCCTGTCTGCTAAAGACTTTGAGATTAGTCGTTTCCCTCCTCCAGCTACCCATTACTTATCTTTAATCTCCTTATCACCATAAACACATCGCTGAACACTGTTTACTGTAGTGCCAATGCTGTGTGTTGTTATATCAACACACCCCATGCTTACTGACATCCCCTTTGCATGCCTGCGTTCATTGAATCTCTTTGTAAAGCACTTCACATTGTTGCTCTGTAAATAAATGTAACCACAGTAGCTGTTACACTAATTCGCCGCTGAGCAATAGAAATGAGACGTCTGACAAATAGTCAATTAGAATCATACATACACATGATTTTATTCATTTATCCACCTTAAAGTAGGATTTACTGCGAATGTGTTATTGTACACTGAAAATCAACAGTGGAAAAACCAACAACAAATAAAATCTACATGGTTTACAAGGACATGAAGATAAAATTAATGTACACTCAAACAATAATCATTAATCGGATAATAATCCTACAGTTTAGGAGCGTTGTGCCTCTCTGTAATGTTTACACTGTAGCGGTTTTTTAATGCAACAAAGCCTCATGCTGCTGGCGGGAATGTCTTAATGAGCTGTCGAACACGGATCTTTATCTTAAAAGGACACGCAGTCGAGGTGCTTGTTCTGATCGGCGTGCAAGCGGACGATATAACATTCTCGCACAACGGGAGTGAGTCAACTGTCAGTCAACACAAACTCCAGTGGGAACAAGAGATCGATTAAGTGTCCGATGCCGGGTTTGGAAAGAGGACGAGGGAGCGGGGGGGTTTAAACAAAAACACACAGTATACGCAGGATAATGAGAACAGAAGATATTTGATAAATAACACAAATGAAAAAAATCAGACAAATAAGAAAGAATAAAAGATACAAAAACATTGGCAATATACAGCTCGTAACAGAACAAACAGTATGACGGAGATTAAAAGGAAATGTCGTATTAAGAAAACAAGATGGTCGTATTTTCCTCACTCCAATGAGTCAGCTTTAACTGAGACCTCATTTTAAAGGGGGATATGTTACACAATATTCAAACAAGACCAATGTTTCCTTAGTATGAGCAACAGAAGACTTGGTAATCCCCTCAAGGTTTGCAGTTGATTTTTTTCTAGCGTCTAGTGTCAGTTTTCTTCTTTTGGTTAACTTCTTTTTTTAGAAATAATTAGATCCTCTTTCTAACAACAATACGATGTTTCCCTGTCTAGACAATCAAGACGAGATCTGGCCTGCAAATAAAACAGAAATCTGGGTTTGTGTTCTGGTATAAGCACTGAAAGCGGAACTTCACTTGGTTATTTCACTACCCCATGCTTCTTCTTTAACACCGTCCCTCTCTGCTCTCCCCCCTCAGTGCACCAGCTCCAGCTGGCTGGTGGAGAAAGGCAAGACGCCGCTGACGTAGTACGCGATCCCCAGGGAGAGGAGGGCGATGACCACGAGCAGCAGCAGGACTCTCCAGAAGCCCAGATCCTCCACAAACTCCTGCCAAGTGGTCCTGAAGCTGGACAGGACCCCCTCGCTGCTCTGGAGGTTCGGGTTGAGTAAAGAGTGACTCTCCATGGCGCTGAGACAAACAGACGGGCGGACAGACAGACAGAGGGGGAAAGAACTGTCAGAATAAGACCGTAACTCAGTCGTATGCAGCGTCCAAGAGTACGCTGGGACTTCAGTTTGAGGTTTTGCAACCAGTCAGAATGGGAGCTATGACAAATGTACATAACACTGACAACAACAGTGAAACAGAAGCACACGCATTGAAAACAACAGGACACTCAACTGACCGTAGGTACATCGAAAGAGTTGTTTTGGGCTAAAGTGCATGTTTAGCCGAAGCTAATATGAAATGAATAAAGAGTCCAGTTTCAGTTCAACCAGTTTCCATAATATTGACAAAAGAAATATGAGAACTGCATTAGTTACATTTGTGAACAAGCTGTTTCTGTTATGAGCAACAATAAAACATAAACTGCACTTCCAGGCTCACACACTGACACCTGCTATTGTTTGGGCTTGTGAGTATTGAGAGGTGTCCGGTTTCAGGAGCAAGTTAAACAGCGAGCAGCTTCAGTACAGGAGAATATGTTAAAACAATATTGGTGCTATAGCGAAGGCACTACCAAAAGCTCTGATCTGTAAATGGTTAAACGTTCTTCCTCAATAGCTTCCACTGCAGTCGGTGTGGTGATGCCAGCATTACGATACAAGTGGGAATGTATGGAGAATGTCTAGATTCCAACAAGGCTGTTCAGAGTCACAAAGAAGTAAAATACTATATTGTTGTTGAGTTTTCAAAATACATGTGACTGAACGTTTTGTGTAAATCCACAGCGATCTCTAAACTGTAACTCTCGTCTAATGACAGGCGACTGACTCAATGTGGAAAAAGACATGTTGAAATTAGGGATGTCGACCAGAGCGGATGCTTAACGGACTACAGTACCGTAGATTCCTCCGGCCTGCCGTTAAATGCCACAGGAAGAAGACGGAGACAAGTCCAGCCGTACCGGTGTTTAACTTAATTTATTAACGTGATCCGTGCAAAAGACTCACGGACGAACGAAAACAAACATTCAGCGGGAATACAGTTTTTTTTCTAGGTAACGCAGGTAAAGCCCGCACCGGAGCAACAAACCCTGCAGGGCTTAAAGGGAGAGAGAGATTCCCTCCAGACCAAAAACAGATGACAGAGAGTTTGTTAGGCCAGTTTAAAGTCTACTTTGTTATTTATAGCAGTGGATGTGCAGTGAATTTCAGTGATATTGGTATTGAATACTACATTTCTGGTATTGTGACATCCCTAGTTGAAATTGTGAAAGTTTTCAGAATGTATCTGTACTTGTGCAGTAGTTTTACTGGTCCAGCCCACTTGAGATCAACCCCCCCCAATTTACCTTTTAAAGTTTCACCATGTCAACATTAAATCGCCTTATCTTTGAACTTTTATTGTATTTTTTTTCTGTACAGAGTTTTAGTTTTAAATAAAGCTTTTACAGACCCATTTTTTATCAATTTATCTTCCTGTTGGTTTCTATCTATCTGTTTGCTTTTGTCCTAACCACTGCCCTCATAAAAAAACAAAAAGGCTTAATGACAATCAACTTCCGTTTGAAGCCAACATTACACTGACCCTGGATCCGTCCGGTTTAAACTCGCTATCACACTCACACAATCACCCTTCGGTCCCCCTACACACACACACACACACACACACACACACACACACACACACACACACACACACACACACACACACACACACACACACACACACACACACACACACACACACTCTCTCTCTTACCTCTCGCTATCGGCCATCTGCATTGTTTCCAGTTTTGAGTGGGGTCCTCTGTTGAAGCCTTTCACTTCCTGCTCCTCCAGTCCTTCCAGCAGACGGATGGCGTCTTTGTTGACCCCGCGTCTCTTCGCCAGCACCAGAGGGGTCGATCCATTGTGGTTACTGTAACGCAGGACAACCAACAGACACAGCGCTGTCAGACCCGGGAGTCAAAGGAGCAGTGCTAGAGGAAATATCAAGTACTACTGTTGGAAACTATATTTCAGCAGCCAACACACACACACACACACACACACACACACACACACACACACACACACACACACACACACACACACACACACACACACACACACACACACACACACACACACACACACACACACACACACACACACACACACACATTTACAGTACAGCTTTATAAATGGAGATTGACAGGCACAGAGAAAGATACACTGTATATTGTTCCCACACTAGGAATAAATACAGTGGCATGGTGTGGTGGAACTCCCTGAATACCTGCCAGGCTAACATAACACTCAATTGAAAGTACAATCACTTCTTGTGTGGTTTCCCTATGTCGGTCTCAGTTAAGTAGTTGCCACACACTTGAAAGGAAATAGGAATGCAATGTGGTGTGCCGTCAATAAGTGAAGTCACAGCAGCTGGCTTATAGTTGGGATTCATTACAAGGAACCTAAATGGCCATAAACACACTTGTGCTCCTTAACACTTGTTAAGAAGTGGTGTACAATCTGCGTTAAGATACCACAGTTAACTAGAAAATAATATATCATTAGTTTTATTGGTAACATAAGTGATGTACCTCTAACAGCAGCTGGAACAAACATTTGTAAACTGAGGATGATCTGGATGTCTGAAGTCTAATGAAAGCTTACTTAAACATGTGCGAACAAGAACACAGAACAGTTAATGTCAAATCACTGTGAGATGAGAACGGACAAAGAAAAATTCCCACGGCAGATCAGACACATTCCTGAGAAGGAATCTTTTGCATTAGATGAGCTGGACCTGACCCACCCAACATTTTATACACGATCAACACTGTTTATGTTTAGTTCTTTTCCAGAGGGGCTGAGGTTCACCATGCCACAAACTTTAAAAGAGTTTATTTTTCTAAGAAGACAAAGACACTTCTCAGATTACTGCATTGGCTACGAGTTTCTCACATATTGCCTGTCCTGGGTCACTTATAATAGCCCTGCCATAACACACTCACACTCTGGCACGCTGCCTAGATTCACTACAATACCCATTACGGAGCGCTGTGTCACTGGCTGTGTGAACCCAAACGGGAGTGAACCACAGCGTTATTAGCTGAGCCCTAACCCTGTCAGTCTCCCACCACTCGGGCCACTCTAACGCTCTTATTAGCTTCACATATGGATGTACTGTGCATTTTAAAACTGAATAACTAGGGCCACTGATGTGATGTGAGTAGTTGTAGTCAAGAGTCACAATCGATTATATAAAAGGAGGCAGAGCTGCAACAATTTGTCCGTCAACAGAAAATGAATTAGCAATTATCTTGTTAATTGATTAAACGTTTGTCGGTTTTTACATTCAAACATGACAAACTGTTTCCAGCCTATCATATGTGAGGATTTATGTCCTTTCTCTGATTTATTTTATTGTAAACGGAGTATGTTTGCATTTCCTTGGACTTTCATTCTATGGAGGAAACACTTACTAGAGAGGATACACAAATAATTTAGCCTAGAATTAGAATTAGAATTTAAATATGACATTTTGCGCTGGGGGAAATGTTTGAAAGTCACCGCATTGAAGTGTCGCTTCCTTCCCTCCTTCCTTCCTTCCTGTCTACTCTCTAAACTGCATCGTGCTGCTAATTTTATGTGTGGTTTTAAACAATAAAACCTGCAGTCAGTGTATTATAACGGAGGAGTGATTAAAAAAAGAAAGGTGTTTCAAGAAGCTGATGGAAAAATAATTAAGACCCCTGGCTAAATGGTCAGGATCATTGAACCAGCAATGGATCTAAATGTGCTGTCTGCTGCGATACATCTAATCTTCATTTTTTGTTGACTATGCTTAACTAGAGAAGTACGGGCCACTAATTTAAAGCCTATTTATAATCTAAGTTTTGACATTTACGTCCTGTGAAGACAGACTCAAAAGATTTAAGATAAACTTTAACCCCGATTTAACAGTGTGAAATTTGGGCTCAAATGAAATTAAATGAATAACCAGTTTTACTAAAGTGTGGGAATTAGTGTGACCAAGGATATATCACACTAAAATATGATGTATTTTTATTTATTTAACAGTTATCACAGTTCAGTGAGTCATTTAATCCAACATACTGATGCATCTTAAAATCGAAACCTTGTTGCTCAAGCAATCTTTTAGGTTAATAAAGGTGGTTGTTTTTATTTCATCCAGAGTTTATATTAATAAGATAAGTTCATGAATGAGATGTTTGAATAGTTGAGAACAGTCAGAGCTATTACGCAGTTCACTGCAGCGCGGTGCTAAATTTAACCACGCTGAGTCAACGTGTCTTGATCAGCATCCTTTTCATACATTCATGAAACACAATGCCTCTCTGTGTTTGTAACTATTAGAGAGAGAGAGATTCAGATTACTCATATGACATTCTCACACGACTAAAATGAGCACATGGCCCTTTTTACAAATCCTCCTGAGGTTTCTTACTTTTTCCACTCATGTGAACTGACGGTCTAAGAAGAAAAAAAAAAAAAAAGGACCCGATGTTTGCATCAAAAGTGCAAAAAGCCGCCTGCAAGCACACTACTTCCTATTAAACGGGGTTTGTGGGTTGTAGTGTATCGTGAAGATAAAAAACAGAAAAGGAAGAACAGATGCTGATTTCTGTAGCCTTTGCTTTTCAACATCTAATGTCATTGTTCTTTTTTGTTTTATTCTTAAGAATCATTACAAAATGCTCAATATGGTGTATACATCAATGAGTGTGTTTACATACACTTGAATAATCGCGTGCATGCTCATAACGGAAGTTCAGAAATGTCAGTAGGTTTCTGATTGTCTGATCTCAGCCACTTATTTCCAGAACCACTGAGTAATAGTGGGATTTCGCTCCGTTGTTTGATAACTGAAAAAGTATTATTCTACATCGTCACCTTAACAACGCTCAACACTGGAGCGATGGTTGTGTCCTGAGTCCCTTCCGGTTTACTCTCTACAATAACTGTATCTCCCTCTCACCCATCACCACATACCAATGCTATTCTCCCACTTCACTTTGAACTACACACCACTGACATTCACCGACGCTGCCAACAGACTCCCGCAAACCTAAAGCCTTTTCCTCTGGTTATGTTGTGTATCTGTGTTTCCGGGGAAGGACAATAAAGAATCTATTCATTCACACCTGAATGATCAGAAACATGTTTCTCTGTACCGAACGCCCACCTGTCTGTCTGTAAATGTGTGTCTGCCAGACAGAGGCTGGAATGTACACAGATGTATCGCACATTTAATGACCTATACCCAGAACTTGAAGCGAGTTCATATTACAAACCCTTGAGATACTTCCAGACTCTCCAAATAACAGCAAAGTGAGCTTCAACCAGTTCGAACCAGTTCAAGCCAAAATGTGGACCGGAAACACCCAACATCTTATTGTATTGGTACTACAACGAGGCAGATGTCAAAGCAGCTGGAAATTGAAATGATCCCAAAACAAACAAAACGGTAACAGTCTGGAATACTGAAGGTTTCTTAAACCAGAGTTTTTACAGGTTTAAATCGTAACCAGGACACTTCAAAAATCAGTTTAGCTCAGATTTGTCTTTTTACCTAACCCTCATCAATCGTCACCTACAAACTGCGGACCTCAGGCACAGTGCTTCAGTTTGTAGCCACGACAAATTTACAAAGAGATTTACAGATTTACTTAAAACAAGTAAAAAAAAATACAAGCAAATACATCTACAAAATTAGGCATTAAATGTCTTACCAGATGTCGATCTTGAGCCCGTTGGAGACCAGGAACTGTATGGTATCCACGTGGCCACACAGATGCAGCGCCGTGTTTCCTTGATAATCGGTCGCCAACAGATCGGCCCCGAACTTGTGCAGGAGGCGGCATATGTCCACGTTCCCTCGGGCGGCGGCTAGGTGCAGGCCGGTGCGGCCCCGGTTGTCGCGGATGTTGGGGTCGCATCCGGTCTCGAGGAGCCTCTTGGCGAAAGGCAGGTCCCCGTCGATGCAGGCCTGCAGCAGAGGCACGTTGGTCTGCGACGAGTCGTTGATGAAGACATAGGACATGTCCGAGTGGGTATCAGAAAATTCCAGCGTACCTGCAGAGAGGAAAAACGGGAGATAGGTTTCGAAGAACGGGAGAAGAACCGGGACCCTGATAAGACTCTACTAGAATCAGGGTTCCCACTCTTTTAAAGATATAATTTCCAGGACATTTTCCAGGAGTTGCCTTGATGATACAGGACGACAGCTGCTCACAAATAGTCATATAATTTATCGATAGGCCCATTTTTTCCGAGTTTTATTCCTTCTTTTTTAACGATGCAGGGTTCATGATGAAGATATGCAGGTTCACTACGGGTAGGTGGTCAGCGTTTACGGGTGCTAGCTCATTTTCATTCTCGGGTGATTTAACTAAGTTTCCCTCAAAACCTAATAATCAGATCACCTACATAACCTTTACTGAGTGACTCAAATTTACTATTTTCCAGGGCAACGTTGATTATTTCAAGGATATCTGCTCATTTGAATACATTTCCAGGTGTTTCCATGACTAGAAAACAAGTCTCTAAATGTCCAGGTTTTCCAGGAGATGTTATTGATTTTGGGGATCAAGTATTTAGTGGTCATACATTAATGAGTGCAGTTCCACACAGCATAGATAGAGACAGTGCTGCTGACACTGGCTTTTGGGAATATGGAACAATACATCTAAGAACTACAAACCAGAATACTGGAAGGCAGCACAAAGATAAGCCTGTCAGTTTATCTTTACAGCCCTGAAATCACAAACCATAATTTGCCTCAGGGATGGGGGCTTTACAATCTGTACAACATTCAACACCCTCTGTCCTTGAAAAAGCTAAAAAATTTTTTTTTTTTTTGGTATCAGAAATGGAAAATCAGAAATAGTCACAGTTGCCATTTAAATGATCCTGCAAACATAATGCGCCCCCCGCTGGCTGCTGCTCACATTGCAATTTAACAACAAGTAGAACTATTCAGAGGTTATTGGGGCTGTCCCGTTTAACTCCACATACTGTTGTGCTGATGTAGGGGGGTTCGGACGGGCCTGCCCCCACTGCTAAAAAAAAATCCTAGAGGAAACACTTGATTATGACACAAAAGGTTCCTGAGTGGTTCAGTGACACACCTTTTTGACCAAGGGTGCCCAAATGTTTTTCCCTTCGGTGGCCAAAACTGAAACCTTATGTTGGGCCACGGGCCAAAAGCAAACAACACATTCACAACTCTCGACAAATATTTATATTATAACATTTTAATTAATTTCAATACATCTGACAGCCCAAATTCAACCTTATAATTGACCAACTTTGACATGCAGGCAGAGCTTTGGGCAGCCCTGCTTTTGACATACTGGCTTCCGGGTTCATGTAACATACGTGGACGGGGGTGTCCACATATTTTGATCAAATATTGTATTAAAAGGACCGGGGTATGGGATCTTGTGGCAACTAGCAGTGTAGTTTCAGATAGGAACTAGCAGAACATAGTTTGTATCTGTAAGTGACGACCTGGGAATGAAAAGCAGCTGTTTAGTGTTTACACAACAGTGGCTGGGAAAGAAACACAAAAGGTCCAGTCTACGCAAACAAATGTAGAAACCTGGCGGCACTGGATCTGTAGATCAAAACAGCTCATTCCACAGTAAAAAAAACACAAAAACAGACACATACCTATCACTATTATATAACAGGTCCTCCTCCCGCACCCGTGATCACATCACTCCCGTCCTCCAGACCCTCCACTGGCTCCCAGTTCCACAGCGCATTCAGTTCAAAATCCTCCTCCTTACACACAAAGCCCTCCATAACCAGGCTCCTTCCTACCTCACTGACCTGCTCCATCGCCACAATCCATCCCGCAGCCTCCGCTCATCTGAAGCAAACCTCCTGACTCCTCCACCCAGGACCAAGCACCGAACCTCTGTAGCTGCCCCCTCCCTCTGGAACTCTCTCCCCAAACACATCCGTGACTGTACCGACCCTCCAACATTCAAATCACTGACAAAAAACACACCTTTTTAAAATTGCTTTTAATGTTTAGCTTAGTCTGATGTGTTTTTAATGTTTTACTATTTGATGTTGTTTGGCTGCTTTTATGTTTTTTTTTTATGTAAAGTGTCTTTGAGTATTTAGAAAAGCGCTTATAAATAAAATGTATTATTATTATTATTATTATTATTAAATGTTACACACTGGAGCTTTGAGTGTTTCACTTTCTACCAGTTGCATATGATTAATGTGTCATCTGCCACAAACTGTACCGTTAACGAGTCGTAGTGCAACATTATGATGAGACATATAATGTCTCTGGTTAGGAAGGCGATGCAGGTGTGTGGGTTTAATCTGTCTGTCTGCTGTTCTGTGGATGAACTCTGACCTCTGACCTTCTCCTGGAGAACAGTACATGACACAGTTATGATCCAAATTCACTCACCTGTGCATTTTCTAACTTCTTTAATATGGTGCATCACCTCTTTATGAGCAATTTCACTAACCTCACAGACTATTTTTCTATATTTTAACTACCAGTAATTCTTTTTGCCACTCGTTCATACCTCACAGCAAACATCAGCTGCCTGTAAACGCCTCAAACCTGCAAGCAGCAACCTAAAATCTCATTTATTTCCAGGACAACGTCGAGAAATCACCTTTTCGTACCATAATAGCTTGCTTGGCTAAACGCACAGGAGCTAACTGTAGCATTAACCAAGCTTGCGGAGATGAACACGACAGCTGCATATAATCCCAACAATGCTGTTCACCTCCACCACACGTCCTGTTAATGTTTGATGCAGTGGACTTTCACAGATTGCTCCAGATTAAAAAAAAAAAAAAAAAACCCCGTTAGCATGAGACGCTACCTAGAAGGAAGCTAACGGAGCTAGCGTTAGCTCTCAAGCTACACATAAGCTTAAAACAGATTTAAATAGGTAATTTAACAACTTGTAGAAACACAAACATGTAACGAACTCGTAGTGGAGACGCTCCGGGGGCTGAAAAAGGTGTTAAACTCACCTGTTAATTTGTCCCAAAACCAGAAGAAAAAAGATTAAACTTCGCTTTTCCTTTGGAGCTAACTGTTGTTGTTTTGATGTGAGACTTCCGCTCTCCGTACAGCCACATTATCCGGCTGCTGTCTCCATCTACTGGAGGAGGTCGGCAGGGAGGCAGCAAACAACAGTTATAACACTTATATTACTCAATTATTAGGACTCATGCATCAGTGCAACAGCAGGATTTCTGCAGCTGTAGGTTGGCTGAGGTGGAGCTCAACTGTGCAGCTAGAGATTGTTTAAAATGTGGATTCTTTGTTTTCTTTGTACAAATTATTAAAAAAAAACACCAATCGCAGGTTGTCATTGCCCTCCAAATAATAAGAAAATACATTAAAATGATTAAAAGTAAATGATAAATTAGTAATAAATACTCAGAATAGGATCAGAACAGTTGCCAGTTACTGTGATTGTCTGTTTGCAGCTGCAGTAGCTCGGTCTGTAGGGACTTGACTTGGGAAGCGGAGGGTTGCCGGTTCAAGTCCGGCATGGATCACAGTATGTAGTGTGGACTGGCAGCTGGAGAGGCGCCGGTTCCACCTCCTGTACACTGCTGAGGTGTCTGTGAGCAAGGCAGCAAGGCATGTAACCCCTAACTTCTCCGTATAGGGTCAAATGCAGAGGACGCGTTTTGTTTCATGTATGTAAAATACTGTAAATACTGTCAAATGACAATAAAGACTGATTTACATTTACATATACTGTTGGATAGGCTCAGTAGTACCATTAGTACCACTTCTAGCGTTTATAATTCAGCCAATTTGGGCAATATTTTGACATATGATTGGTATTTATGCACATATATCATCTCATTTATTCAATTTTAAACATCAGACACTATGACACATATTGAATGTTTATGTTTGTATTGAATTATGTTTAATATGTTGGCGACAAGCACAATATACAAACTTTTCACCGGGCTTGGGCCTTTTTGTTACCAAAGTGAGACACTAATGTACGATAATACTATTATTCTGCCTTTTGTTTTCTTAAAAAAAAAAGAAAGAAATCAGCTGTCATGGAAAATCAGGGAATTTAAGCTTTAAAATGACATTGTGGAAGTTTTCCAGCCTGGCAGGATTCGTGAAATTAACCAATTGAAGGTGATGTGCATCATTTTATTCCACAGCCTGGTAATAAAGGACATTATGCCACATTCAGTGTCTGATATCTGAGAACTGCCTGGTTGCACAGCAATAAAATCAGTGTCAAGTTACAAGGTGTTGATGTTTTTAATTTGCCAAGCACACAGCAATCTGATCTCAAACAATATCTTCACACCGAATAAAGCAAAACAAAACACATGTAATATTCTCAGAGGAGTTTACATGTAAAAACAGCAACAACTGGCCTTTCTCTCGTTGTTTAACGGGCAATAATTCTGCATTAGAAATTCTCAGTTAGTTTAGAGACTTTATTTCAAAGTGTGTGAGCACAGAAATACACATTACAGTAACAGACATGTTATTTCCAATTCTTGTTATGGATCCTCTTTGAGGAAAAACTGCATTTCTTTTCCGTCACTCCAGGCACTTACAGTTCATTCTTGGTTTGGAACGTGGGTAAAGACCAAACAGACAATAAAAACAGTTACGCCTGTTAAATCATCAGTGGTGAATATATTTTCCATATAAAAACACAATCCTAAAGGCATTTTTTTATTCCATAATATTTAATGTACACATCATTATCTTCCCATTCCCTCCCATCTCAGTAAATAAAACCAGGGGATAGTATCATGACTTACGTAAAATAATTACAATCTAGATTACAAAACAACAAAAGGCTGACAAAAAAAAAAGAGAGAGAAAATAAAATAAAATAAAAGTAAAATGTGACAAAGTAATAAAATCATGGCTACCAGCAGAGAGACAGAGCTATGTGCTCGACACAGTGGTCATAGTGGTTACAAGTCACCCAGTAGCTTTCACTGTCCAAAGATAATGTCAAAGAGGAGAATGTTTCACTTAATCCACACTTTTAATTTACACTGCAAACCAAAGCCAATGTAAAAAACGATAAAGTCTGATCTTAGATGTCTTTGCGCGCTACTGCAACTCAGTATTCATAAATATGGCTGCAAAATCTACATTCACAGGCAGAAAACTTCCCCCTCTTTCATATCCAAGGACAGAGAAAAGACACATAGACTGGAAAAAAAGAGAAGAAAATAAAATGAAGAGTGAAACAGCTTTATAGACTTTTGCTCTAACATACTTTGCTGGGAAATACAGGAAGCACTATGTACAGCAATAATTAACAATCTATCAGAGAGTGTGTGTTTGGTTTTCTGTTTTAAATGTAGTGTGAATGAAGGGTTTACTGGGATTTTAATAAAAAAAACACTACTTTGGTCACAACATAAAGATGAAAGCCTGTGAAGATGGAGATGTAGAGTAAAATATATGCCTGCTGATTTGACTTGTTTATTGTATATGAGTTCACATCAGTGCAATATATATATGAATGGGTGGCCTCATTCAAGTCATTCATTACGACAGTCAGCTGTTGCGGAGGTTCTGTTTTTAGAGGAAAAGTGCTGGTTAGCCGGTTTAATGCATGCAGATTAATGAGAACTTATTTTAAACGTTGCCTTTCAGTTCAACTGTCAGGGTATTGTAGCACCATAGAGTTATATATGAACGTGATAAATACAGAGACAACAGGTATGTGTAACATGACAAAAGCATAGTAAAGTTAATGCACTGCGATGGTAATTTTGCATGTTTTTTCTTCTTTCTTTGTTTCCTTAAGTTTGACAAAATATTATTAACTCAACTAGCAGATGGACTTTACCCATACAACCATAATAAAAGCTCTTATTTTGTCAAAGTAATATTTCCTGGGTCAAGAATGAACTTCCTTGCTCATCATACTTTACATGCTTTAGATAAATGTCCTAAATTCAAGGCCATCATTGGTTTAAGATAATCTATCAACTTGTAAGAGAACTATAACCTGCTTTAATCAATAAAAATCCATTAAAACAAACTTTTAGTTGCCTTTTTTTGTTGTGTATGTTTTCATTAAAAGCAGCAACTGCTCCGGGAACTCTTACTTTGAAGCTGCAATATCTGTAATATGACAGTCGACACCTGACAATGTTATTTTCTACGTTGAAATGAAAGTCGAATAATGAGCAAACATTGACATATATAGAAAAATTGCTGTTGGTCTTTTAAAATATAAAGTACTGACTGAGCAGGTAGTGTGTTTTGCTGCTTACTTTTCTTTCTTTCTCTTTCCTCCCTCAGTGTTTATACATTTTGCAGCTTTTCTCTTAAAAAAAAATGGAGTAAATACTGTAAATTGGCTTGAAAAAGTTGCACTTCAGCAGGTGATTTTCACATCTCGGATACTTTTGGACACTTTTCCTTACGTGCACGAAGACGGACATAAACAACAACAATAAGGCATCTTTCAAAAGACAAAATAGCGCACTAATTGTTCACTATGATGCTTCACTTCACCTCAAGTAGGTCTCAAATCTGAGCATAGTAATGAAATGATAACTAAAAATGCAAAACCACCTGTATGTTTTCAGAGGGTGACATTCTTAAAATAATTTGTGACATAACCGCAGTGAAAGTGGTTGTGGCCTTTTCACTCTAAGTGTGTCTGAACCAAAATCATCTACTTCAGTTTGATCAGTCCAGAAAATAATGCTAACACCTTAGATTCAGCCAAGTTTTTTTTTTTCTTAAAAAGCAGAGTTTGACTTTACTGTCTGAACTGACTCATCTGAAGCAGACCCTGGTGTGTGTGTAAGCGGTGCAGTGCTATCCAAAGGGGGTGGCACTCTCCGAGGTAGCCGAGAATGGTTCTCGCCAAAACCGTAACGAGAAAAACAGACACAAAATAAACACAAAGAACATAAACAATAGCACCATTGTCAGTGATAATCTAGAGAAGAGCAATCCCACTGGAGCCCTTCTCTTTCCATTTCCTCCCTCCAAATTTTTAAACAAGCCATTCATTTCTAAAGCAGATCAAAAACTCTAAAAACGGGGCAGGTGATGTTGTTCGACTCGATTCTGAAACCACCAGAGAAGCAGAAGAGGGGCTCATTTTCAGTCAGTCACATGTTCTTGTTTTTATAGATTTCTTTGTAAATCATCCTCCATCCTCAACACCTCCTTTTTTATTTTCCTTTGAGGTGTTAATATATCACCTCCCTCCATTCACCTCCTCCTACTACAAGATCTTGCTGCAGACTTGGCAGCGGCTGACTCTGGAGCGCTCCTGGCCTCCCTTCAGGGTCTCCTGTCCTGGCGCGTAGAGAAACTGCTGGTTGGGATCCACGGTTGTCAGCCAGAAGCTGTACTTGTTGGCGAAATAGTGGCAGGTGCCCTTGGCCCCATTGCACTCGATGAACGGCGTCGCGCGGAAATCCTCCAGGCAGGAGCCGGGAGACACCAGGGATTGACCGCCTCCCTCGGCGCCGGCTGCTGTGTGCTGCAAGGGAGAGATTTCATTCTTTATTCTTTAAAGAACCAATCACAGTGTTAGTTTACAATAACTTCCGTATAAAACCCCGGCGTAGCTTTCATTCAACTTAATGGCAGCAATGTGTTGAATGGTTTATTTATTTTTATTATTTCAAATTGCAGAAATCTAAAAAATACACGTTTTACACCTTCATATGTCATGAATAGCAACACTTTCATTAACATAGCTGTTTAAAGCCTCCCAGTTACACCATTCTGCATATATTGGTATTTGTTGCAATGCCAAATGTGAGAACACACACATTTTGGTTTCTTTTGCAGGCCTTATTATGAGAAACTTGTTATTTATAGTCAATAGTTTACCATGAGGAAGGAGTATCCTATCCAGAGACTCCTCCAGCCGGGGGGACACATGGGGATGGACAAATCCTGACTGTGGACCGCCACTGCCTGAGACGGAGCCTCACACACAGAACACCTGCAAGGAAAGGGCTAAGTTAAATATATATTCACGTGCAAACTCCACACCTTCGCACTTCACTGAGCCAACAGAGCGTGCAGTACCTGCTGATGTAAGGCTGTATCTGCTGGTCGGCCACGGGCATCATGGGTATGGACGCAGTTGTGGAGAGCCAGTAGGATTTGTCGTTGCGGCTGGCGTAGTAGCAGATCTCGCTGGGGGAGCAGTAGAGGAAGGGGATGGTGCTGAATCTAGGGAGACACGACCCTGGTTGACCTGAAGAGAACAACAGAAGAGAGGACGGTAATCGATATATGGTATGGTAATCGAGTAATGTAAATAATAGTTGTAACAAGTTACTTTTAAAAGTAATGTTACCCAACCATGTTTAGCAGCTTCCCTTATAATATAAAGGCTGAAGATCACTTGATAACACTGTAACAACATGTTATTAAAGCGTTTCCATACCGAGGTCCTGGTTGTGTGCCTTCTCCTGTCCCTCCACGTACAGCAGACTGTATCCCTCCCAAAGCTTGGCCATGCCCTGAGGACACATGGGAACCTGGGAGTCCTGGCTGTGCTTCACCAGAGTGTAGCCGATGCTGTAACTGCGGCCGACGCTGCCGGGAGCGCCGGGACGACCGGCTGAGCCAGGGAGACCTGAGGGGGAGGGAACGAGGATAAATTCAGACAGATGTTAGAATGGAGAGAAAGTCTGAAAAGTTGCTGTTAGCGGGATCGATAGTGTATTGTATGAACATAGTAATAATCCAGGTATTGACGTGGCCAGATTTATGGGCAAGAGCGTTTTTTGGGTTAGGCTATGTTTGTTTCTGAGAAATTAAAAAATATTAGCGAGAAAAGCAGGGACAGATTACTGACCTTGTTCTCCAGTGGGTCCAGGGAAACCAGGGGGTCCGGGGTCACCGGTAGTTCCAGGGAGACCAGATGATCCGGTCCTGCCAAGTTTGCCCACGGGACCGGGACGACCCTTAGGACCTGCAGCAGGAGAGTATTTTCATTTTTTATATTTCCTCTTTACTATGTTTCTGCCTCTCTGCACAGTAAAATACACCAGATTAAGACTTTATATATATCCATACAGAAGTACATATACTGTTTTATATACAGTCATCACACTGTAAAAAAATAAATACTGTTTACTGGTTAAAAAGATATTTTTGGAGAGTTAGACAAGAAGATCAATACCACTAGGATAACAAAATCAGATTTCTTGAGCTTCAGGAAGTTCAAGTTCTTTTTTTTTAACCTTTGCACAGTAGCCAGGCAAGCCTTTTCTCCTTCTTTTCAACCTCTGGCCTAGAGGCTGCCTGGCCCTAGCCTCAGACAGAGTGGAGTTTCTCATCGAACTCTTGGAAAGAGAGCAAATGAGCGTATTTCCCAAAATAGTAAAAATGATATCTCAAATGTATGCTGTTTCCTAGATGCAAGGGTAAATAACATATTTATTATTCTTAACCACTCACCTGGACGTCCGGGCAGTCCAAACTGACCGGGTTCTCCAGGGAGACCGGAGCCTCCGTTTTCACCGGGAAAACCTGCATCTCCAAATTGACGTGTGAAGTCTGGCGGTGGCAAATTCATTGTGATTCCAGGAAGACCTTTAGCACCACGAGGCCCTGGAGAGGAAAGGATGGAGAAACAGAGTGGAGGGAAAATAAATGGTGAATGTGTGAGCGTAAAAAACGAGGGGATCATGGTAAAAGAGTAAACTGCTTTAATTTCCTGAACCATCACAATGCGCTTATGAAATTCTGCCTATGGAAACTGAAGTCCTCCTTACCTTGTAATCCCTTTGGTCCTTTGTTTCCATAGTAGCCAGGCTCACCGGCGAAACCCTTGAGACCAGGACCTCCACTGTAGCCAGTATCACCTCGTTCTCCTGAAAAGCAAAAATAGTTTTATTTTTTTCTCTCTCTTTAGAAACACAAAGAAATGTTTGGGATTTTTGGCTTATGTCATATTTTTGTTAGAAGCATCTATTGAGAGCCACTTCACCTTTGAAACCGGGGCTGCCAGGGAGTCCAGACCCTCCGGGACGTCCTGGTTCTCCTTTCCCGCCGGGGGAGCCAGGGAAGCCCGGGAGCCCTGGGTCGCCTCTGTCTCCCTGGTCTGTGCCTGGACCAGGCGGCCCGGGAGGACCTGGAGGACCTTGAAAACCTGGAGGAGAGTGGAGGTTTAGAAGAAGGACAGAAGAGGAAAAGAAAGGAGTAGGAAGGAAAGAACATAGGAAAGGAAATTAAAGAAATTTGGTTTGAAGAAAGGAAAGTGAAAGGAAGGCAATATAAAAAGAAACAGGAAACTGGATTGAGGAAATATATTTACCATACTCTCCATCCAGTCCAGGGAGGCCAGGGTCTCCAGTAGGTCCGGGAATATCTGATCCCAAAGTCTCACCAGGAGGTCCGGGCCGCCCAGGGAACCCTGTGAGTCCAGGAGCACCTGACACAAAAACAAACCAGCAGTGATTATTTTGATACATAACCTTTCATCTCCATTCAATCAGCATTTCTAATTCCCTTGAAGCCTTTCTCACCTGAGTCTCCTCTCTCTCCCTTTGGTCCGGGGTAACCTGGACCTCCTGGGTAGGAGACGCCTCTCTCTCCCTTCAACCCTGGAATACCAGGGGAACCTGGACGACCTCCTGCACTCACACCTGGATACAAATACAACAAAATGGTCAACAGTTCATCTTCAACATCTGAAAAATAGTTAGAAAAGTGCTGTCACTGCTGTTTCTTATGGTAGGGTTCATGAAAACAGTCATTTTCTATGTCTATGTGGGTTGTGCTTTGTCTCATGGGCTGTTTCATGCTTCCTGGGGACCGTGCAGACAGTGTGTGCCATACTGTTTTAAAGATATTGTGGTCAGATAAGGTTGAGCGTGTCACCATAGAAAGACTGGTGTGTGTAATGAAGTCCTTACCTGGGGTTCCAGGGAGACCTTTAGGTCCAGGGAGGCCATTAAGTCCATCCAAACCAGGGGATCCGGACAAACCTGCAAAAACACAACGGAGTTACAACCCTGCTGTTACCTCGGATCATTTGGAAACAGGAAGTGAACTAATGTGCCTCTCACCTTTGGCTCCAGGACCTCCAGGACTTGCAGGCAGACCAGGAGAACCATCTAGTCCTCTTCTTCCTGGGTAGCCAGACTGGCCCTTCGGCCCGGGGAAACCAGGGGAGCCTGAGGGGAGACAAGGCAAACATGTTACTATCTGATGGTGACTCTCTCTGGTGTCTTGAAGGAAATATGGAAACTGGTCATGAGAGTTTTTTTTTTGTCACAGTAGTGGTCTCTCTCACCCATTATTCCAGGCCGTCCTCCTTCACCAGGAGCTCCCTTCGCTCCAGGGAAACCTGGACCTCCTGGGAAGCCGTTGTCACCGGGGGAGCCGTCATTTCCACGGCCACCTGAGGAGCAAGAGATCAGTCTGGTAGGTAAGATCCTTTCAGGATGTGTTAATGTTTTAAAAAGGTGGAAAAATCTAAAGAGTTTGGAAATCACCCCTTTGACAAAGTGTGATAATAGAAAATTAATCCAATAGTGCTCCAGTTTATTTCAAAGAAACAGAAATTAGGTTTTTGTATGTCACCTCTGCATTTGAAAATAAGGTAAGACTGAGAACTATATTTTTACAGAATACCAAGTGTTTCCTGTGTTTAAGGCACATCAAATTTCTTTGGAAGCACTGAAGGAATGCTTAATTGCTTGTAAAACTGAAACTGTAGTCTGGTAGAACAGTGTATGCATTTAAATGTATTAAAAGGATCCATTGTAAGAAAGAAACAGGAAGGCGTAACATCCAGACACAGTTTGGGAGCTGTGTGAATACCATAAATACTTACAATAAGACTTTGCATGTTTTGTAGAAAAAATGTGAATACACAAATGGTGGATTTTAGGTTTTAAATATGCTGTTTAAAGGAGTTGCTGATGGTCACTCAAGAGGTACACTTATTTTTGGGTAAGAGGCGGTTGCTTTTACCAAAAACCAGTCTTACCTGGGAAGCCTGGATCTCCTGGCTGGCCTTTAGCTCCTGGACCTCCAGGATAACCGAATGTATCCCCGGGTTGACCTGAGAAACAAAACATGTGAGTCAGCAGCTGATTAATGTATTAAATTATTCATAAACAGATGTGAGGTTAGATAGATTTGACAGAAGTAAGTTTCTTGGTGTGTGTGGCCCGATGTTAACACTCACCTTTGCTGCCAGGCCGACCAAATTCTCCAGGGTTGCCAGGGAAACCAGGTGCGCCGTCGTCACCCTGAAAGACATCAGAACTTGAATCTCACTGGCTGAACTTGCAGCATGTTTACGTTTGTCTCTGTGTGTGTGTGTGTGTGTGTGTGTGTGTGTGTGTGTGTGTGTGTGTGTGTCTGTATGTTTTCTTACCCTTGGTCCAGAGGTGCCGGGGAAACCCACGATTCCAGCTTCTCCCTTCGGTCCGGGGAAGCCTGGAGATCCCGGTCTCCCAGGAAACCCAGGCTGTCCCGGCTGTCCTTTGCTCTGCTCAGCATAACCAGGAAGTCCAGGCAGACCCTGACGACCAGGCAGACCTGGCAGACCTTTGTCACCTAAGACCAGGCACAGTGTAAAAATCAGAATTAGCTCATCAGAAAATGACAGATTTGTAACTAAGAGTTCAAATTGAAGGTAGTACTAGGTACTCTAGTATAAGTAAAATTTTGTCAGTAAAAATGATGACACACTGTTATAGATTAAACTTTCCAATGACTGTATTTAATACTGCTTGTATATTGATGCATCAGTAAGAATCTAGTACATGATAAATAAACTAAGCTAATACTTATGTGCTTTTATTAGTGTAAATACCAGAAGCTCATAATAAAGACACTATATTTAAATTATATACCTAAGTCTATCCTGTGATACTCTGAAGGATTGAATTATGAGTAATGAGTAACTTTTTGTTGGGCTGCCTTGAACACAATATCATGTTTTACATACACAGTCTAGTTTTCAGCTATTAATAGTAAAACAGGAAGTAGCGTTACCTCTGGGTCCGGGGAATCCAGGAAGGCCGCTGCCTCCGTAGGTTCCGGGTTCTCCTTTCTCTACCAACTCTGATCGAAAAGGAGGAGCGGGCAAGCCGGGGAGACCGGGGTATCCTCTGTCACCTACAAAAGTAAAACCAAGTGGGTGATAATGTAACTCACAGACTTCAGATGAGTCTACTCGACCGTCTCCTGGCCTTGTCCTTGATCTATGATGCTCTACCTTTCTGTCCGGGGTATCCGGGACCACCGGAGCGTCCGTCTCTTCCGGGTCCACCAGCCAGTCCTTTCCCTCCAGGAAACCCTGGGGTTCCAGGGCGACCTGGCAGTCCAGGGAAACCCATAAGTCCTGGGAAACCCCTGTCGCCTGTGGAAAGACACAGATAATCAGAACATTATTTTCTCTGCAAGGAGATGTTAGAAGTAAGAATGATGATCACAAGTAGCTTCAGCCTACCCTTCCTTCCTGGTATTCCTGGGATTCCGTCTACTGTTCCTGGTCCTGGAGGTCCAGGGGGTCCTCTTGGCCCGGGTGTTCCAGAGGTGCCGGGCAGTCCTGGGGTTCCCTTCATTCCAGCAGGGCCTGGGAAACCTGGGTCTCCTCGTTCTCCCTTGCGACCAGGGAAACCTGGTGGGGGACGGATGATTGACAACGAAAACAAGACAAGACTTAGTCAGACACTGGTCATAAGCTACACTTAACAACGAAATATGGGCAAGAATCTAAATATTTCTATCTAAAAAACTGTATTAATAGAAAAATATAAAATAACGTAAATATAAATTTCACTTATTCAGACGCACAAGATATAAAATGAAGAAAAATTAACTTACCTCCGACACAACAAAATCAATTTATGAATTATTTCTATTCACATCGACACACACATACACACAACAACAATGTAAACACACGTGTTCCATTACATTGTTTCATTGTCTTGTTTAGGCTGCAATTGCACTTGGGGAACAGATACAAGCACAATGTGGCAAATTTCATCCTAATATGCGGGGATTTCAAATGTTCAAACGTTTTTCTAGATCAAATCTTCACCATTTAATTAAAAGATATAAGAAACTCAAGTGCAATTCCAGACTGAATTAGCGAGGTACAACCGCCTAGTGTTTGTTTGTCCTACAGGATAGCATACTACTGTTCACATTCTTAAAAAGAGAACCCATTTTCAACCCATCCATGCAGCTATTTGTCTAACGCTGGGATGAGTTGAAAATACCTTTTTAAGAGCGAAGAAAATGCCTCTACGGTCATTGATTCAGCGACATTGTTAAACAGCATTTGCGCCAAAAACTTGAGCTGTCACACAAGCCTTATTGCAACACATCTAATACAGATTACACGTCAAGATGTAATTGGACTACGGGGGGTTAGTACCAGCTGCAAAAACAAAACCAAACATCAGCAGTCACATTTACTGAGAGAACTTTCTGTTTCTCAATCTCTCACAGCCAAAATGTCCATCCTAAACCATCATTAAGGGATTTAATTTGGTTTAATCTATCAGTCAATGTGATGCACTAATGTTATAATCACTTGCTTCACAAGTCATTTAAACGCATGAATATATATCTTTAACACAACAGATATGACTGAGCTTGTATTGCAATTGGAGTAACACAACAACGATCACATATTCTGCCTCATTTACTGGAGGAGAGGAAGCAACGTTATTTTTTCTTTAAGAAATTAGAATATTGTTGCATAAGTTTTTGAATTCTTTCCAAGGTTTAAGAGTCAGTTGCCAAAGGCCATTAGGTCAAATAATACGTTGTTGCATATTAAACCTGTAAGATAAAGAACAATCAAATACGAACACCAGGAAAGTTCATGTGACTTCAGTGATTTGGTGACCAAACACAGAATCTCAGAATGTTTCCACAAGTGCAACAACTAACCACCTAGAAACAAGCTCAAGAACAAACTTTCTATCTCAGCCTTATGCCAGCATGGATGAGATGTCCTTAAAGTGCTTGGAAAAACATTTAAATTTGAATCTACATTTCCATAACAACTTGGCAGCTCCACATGCTGAGGAAGGTGGCGTGATGCAATCAAAGGACATCAGGGAACCATCAAGAACTACCTGCTCGCAACTGCATATTAACTGTCACTCTGATTAACAAATAACAAAGAGACAGATTCATTATCTTAATCAAGTTATTTTCAAAGCATACTGCAATGAGCTGAACTACAATATGAAAAACAAAGTGTATATTCCTGAAATGTGAGCCTTGCTAGCTTCCACATAATAAGTTGATCGTTCACTCGATTCCAGAAAAGAATAACTGACTGATTTTTACTGTATTTTCATGAAAAACAATGATAATTTTCCTCCATTTGTTCAGAAAAACAGGCCCTAACACTGACTGGCTGCAAAATGAATCAAATTGTGGATGGAGATGGACATGTTGTGGCTGTACAGATGAGAAAAGGAGAGCAGGCAGACACTTTGAGGAACATTGCAGTTCAAGCGTTTGGTCTAATGCACGAATAGCAGGAGGATTGAGGGATGGAAGCAAAGGGTGGGTGGATGGATGGGTGGATGGATAGATGGATGGATGGGGGAGAGAGTGTCTCACCTTGGCAGCCTATAGCGAATGACCCAACACCAAGAAAAGGATGGAGGGATGAGAGGATGGATGGAGATAATGGTGGTGGTATGTAGGAAGGAGGGAGGAAAGGAGGAAGGAACAGAGGACAAAGAGACGCACAAAACAGGAGATGGAGACATTCTTTTGGGTGATGCAGAGTTTAAATAAACAACAAGAACAAAACAGGCAACTCTGGTGTCTGATTCGTAAATGGAGAATTGTGGAAGAAATACAGTGAAAAGAAGGGAGGAATGAGCCAACACTGGTAAAAGTGAAGGAATGAGTAGTGAAAGACAACAGCCAATAATAGTTTTTCCTTCTTTTACTATAAATCAAGCTACAAATAACTAGACATATCCATGATTTCTCAAATACAGAACATCAATTTCTACAAAATTAAACAGAAGTCTGGTTAGCCATGCGGCGAAACACGCTTTTCCCTCACCTGGTGATCCGCTCAGCCCCCGGTTGCCAGGATTTCCAGGACGACCGGGGATGCCACCAGTCGGATCGCCGGGAGGTCCGGGAGGACCGGGAATACCATTATTGCCGTCGACTCCACGCTCTCCCTTCAGTCCAGGAACACCGTAACGGCCGTCACCACCTGACAGAAGAAGAAAGAATCGGTCACACATTTTACAGCAGCTGCTTCCACTACTGATGCCACTAAAACTTCTAATACTACTTCTAATACAACTACTTGTTGCCAGTTTAGGTAGACCTAGCTAAAAAGAATGAAGTCTAATACAGTCCTGCAATAAATCACAACTTCATGAGTGATAATAACGTGGTGCTGTTGAACTGTATTACGTTACACACACAGTTGTTTCTGTTATTTAGCCAACCCACATTGATAAATGGGTTGGAATAAACAATAGAAACACCTGATTAAAGAAGGTAACAATTGGAGTCTCTCTGTCTCAGACCCACCAGGTGATCCAGGTCCTCCTGGTGTCCCGGGCTGACCCTTGTCTCCAGGGATTCCTGGTAAACCATCCCGTCCTGGACGTCCAGGTGTGGCTCCCAGTACCTCTCCGGGCTCGCCCTTGCCTCCAGGACGCCCTGGAACACCATCCTTCCCCTTGGCTCCGTCAAAACTCTGTCCTGGAGAACCCGGAACTCCAGGGTCCCCTCTGGGTCCAGGGAAACCTGCATGGAGGAAACAGCAGAGGTGATTAAGAAGGGAGATTGAAATCAGAATCACTTTATAATACTATCAGTGATAAAGTGAAAGCACTGTAACAATGAGTTCATAAAACTGTCTCTGAATCTGAAAGTATCAGATTATCTTCAATAAATCTACAGCCCAGATGACTGTTTATGTAAGTATGGGAAATAACAGCTCCCTGCCAGACAGTACTAGCCCTGATTGCACTCTGGAAGTACTACAGTGTGTGAATGTGCCATGTAGTGTAAAAGCACTTTGAGTGGTCGGATGACTAAGAAGGCGCTATAAAAGTACAGTCCATTTACCATTTACCATTTATAGACCGGGCCACCATGCAGGTTTACCTTGTGGGCCAGGCTGGCCTCCAAAACCGGGGTCTCCTCTCTCTCCTTTGGCACCGTCAAACCCTGGACGCCCAGGGCCTCCTGGGAAACCTGGCTGACCTTTAGGACCTGACAGGTGCAGACAGACATGACTTCAATTAGTATAATTCATTTTGATATAATTGAGTTTGTCAGACACTCTGATGTAGTAATGAGTACTTTATTTTTTTTACTAAGTATATTAATGTCTCATTTGTGCTTCCATACAAAAGTTACTAAACCTATAAGAGAATCTAGTTAAGCTTTTACATTTGTTGGTCTATAAATCCTCTGGTGAACAGGAACTGATGTGTTTTATGTTTTGTTTGTAACAAATAGAAGAGGAACTGTGTAGCCCGAACAGACCAAGAAAAAACTGCTATAGAAAATCAAATATTATCACTAGAAAACAATAATCATACATCAAAACTTTCCAGGTTATTGTACAGGTATAAGGTGTTTCCAGTGGCACACAGGGAAATGAATCTGTTCCTTTGGGTTATTTAATATTACCAAAACATGACTGTTCTTGGAGCCCTTCCTATTCCCAAAAAGAACATAAACAAAGCAATAGAAATTGACATAACAACTACAAAACCTTTGACACATATGTGTATGTATAAAACTAAACAATGTTCTCCAGAGCAGAAAAAAAACTAACATTTAAGGCACAGTCTTAACCCTTACATATTCTTTTTAAATGAGATGAAACAATACTCAGAAGTTCATATAAAATTACAATCAGTGTAAAACACTTGTTGAATTGTACCTGGTCCTCCAGGAAAACCAGAGTAACCGGGGTCTCCAGCCTCGCCAGGTATGGAGCAAGGTAGCACTTGGCCTGGTAGCAGTCACATGGAGGTTAGTAATCACACTTCATATACTTTAACATACATATGACATATACAGTGAACACTTGGGCACACAATAGAAACATTAGCTACTTATTCCTTCCATATAAGACATAACTACAAACTTCTCTTACTAGGTCCTACCAGACCTGGTCCAAATAAAATTACAAACACTTATATGGTTACATTTTTCAAAGATAAAAACATAAAAACTATTTTTTGTACTTGAATTGTCCAGTTAGGATAAAGCCAATCACAGAGATGGAGAAAGTTAAATGCTGTTATAGGTGTTAAAATAGTATTTGACCCAGGTCTGAATCACAGTAAGTACTGACAAAAAAGAATGCTATATAAGGCAGTGCTCCATTATTCTAGGATATTGACAGCTACCAAAACAACACTAAAAAGTAGAATACTATACACAATATTCCTTTAACTTCCTCTTTTTAACACTGAAGACAGTAAATTCTTGTCTTTTGCAACATTGATTGTCTGTCGCCTCCACTCATGCCATTACTGCTCTCAAATGAAAGACTTCCACTGAGGTTAATCTGAGTTAAACTGTGAGGATTATATTGTGTTGGAGGTTTAATGGCGTTAGTAGCAAATTCATCACAATGAAGGGGCAGTTCAAAAACAAATTAGAGGATGATGAACAGAATTAGAAAAGTTATAAATTAAATTTTGTGTCCGGGGATCAATTCTATGATTTCAATTACCCCCCCACCCCCTCCCTCCCCAACCCTCACTGGTTAAAAGCACTTAGCAGAGGCAGGGCTTGAGAACATGCGCCAAGTTTCAGCAGCATTGATTGGAGGAAGAGGAGAGCATGACCAGCTGCGGCAGTCCGATGATTGGACGTTTAAAAAAGGTTTCTCCCGGGAAGACTCGACCGCCAATCATCGACTGACTCTGCCAGAGTGGAATCCCTGAGACGCAGGGAGCGAGAGGCTTCCATCGGCTCCGTCATGAACAAATGATTGACAGTGAGCTTATTGTTTTCAGAATGCAAAAGACTATATTTCCCAGAATTACTAGCCCAAGTTTCCAATGAAATTATCTGCCTACCAACCTTTCTTTCTCGATCAACAGTGACTTTTCTAATCACGTGTTCACACTGCGAACAATGGATCAGTTAGTCACTGAAATACTTGTTATTTCACAAAAGAGTTTCTTTATTTATGTTTTTTTTCTTTGTCTTGCTCTTCTCATCGACTCTGTTTTAACAAAATACGATGTCTGGTACTTCCACGCACTCAAATCTGATGACATTTGGCTTGTTTGTCAATTGAGTTTTTGAGTGTTTAACTCTTTTTCATTTATAACTAATAAGACATTTTTCTGACTTGCTTATTTAGTGACAGAAATTGCATATCATAAAGATATAAAGACGTTTTTGAAATATGAAATTAAGTTTTTTATGATCTGGAATCAAATTTGTATGATCTGAAACTGCAAGTGGGAGTCCTTTAACCAGAATACAGTAACCTGTCAACCAAGTTGCCTGCAGTGTGAACACATGGTTAGATACTATGTAACAATTACTGAATAAAGTTGGGTAAAACTCTGCATAGCACTGTTTATTTCCATTTTATGATGTCTCCAATGTCATTTTCCTGTCTGGCCAACATGTGAACATGAGTAAATCTATTAGGTTCTACTGTTTCTGCAAGCGGTGTGCTTTGCTTGAGGGATATTTTATGAATCCACCAGTGGCTGGGCTGCCTATAAAACTAAAGCTACAAATTCTGTCCCAGCTTCGTTACTCTGGCTGGTGGATAAAAAAGTAATTTACCCACCCGTTCCCTCTCCGGCGTCATTAACCCTTCCACAGCTGTTTTCACCTGGACAGATACACATGCACAAGGAAGGTCAGAGAGATGGGTGGATGGATGGAGAGAGAGAGAGAGAGAGAGAAGGGAGAAAGAGAGAGAGAGAGAGAGAGAGAGAGAGAGAGAGAGAGAGAGAGAGAGAGAGAGAGAAGATGGCAGCATACAAAGCCAGTCAGGGTCATTTGCATGCGCCAATAAAGCAATAAAATTAATTTTTCATCAAACAGATATCAGCAAATCAGCAATCAGTTCCATTCAATTAATTCAAGGCTCATTCAGTTAAGGCAAAAGCATAACAAAATAATTGCTTCAATGTAAAAGTGCTTAAAATAGGTTATTCCACTCAATGAGGAGAGAAACAGAGAGTGCGAGACACTGGCTAAGAGCTAGTGACAGATGTAACAAAATGGCGACAAAACTGCAGCTAACTTTGCAACTCTTGCTTTGTCTCTCCTCTTTTTCTCTCAGCTCATGTGAGTGACAATAACCTTCATATTAAGTGCAAATCAGTTGTTCAGTATTAGCATCATGGTATGAGAGCACACATTCATACTGAAGATGAGTGGCCAGCTGCTGCTGAGGAGGACTTTGTGTCATTCAGTCTCAGAGAAGAAGAGCAGAATAAAAGGAGGCCACTGGTGTCATTTAGCTACTCTACTTATGAATGTACTATATTCTGTATGTACTATATTCTAGGTCTAGCTTCCCACAATCATTTTGCATCTTCGATTAATTGACTCCTCTATTGTAGGGGGTTTTCTTTACAGACAGAGATTGACCTTTGTTCCAGTTAAAAAAGAGATCAATAACCAAAAAACATATATGGGGTTTTTTCCTGGCATTACACGTCCCCAAACTTACTTTTATTGCTAAAACTAAACCTAAAATAGCCTGTTGTGGCCATAATTTATCCCACAGTTTGTCTTTAAAATTCTGACTGTGTTGAGTTGTTCTAATTTCAGGTAAATACTGTAATAATTTAACAGAAGTTTAAAGTTCCCATTTTGTATTTACACATTCTTAAATAATCAAAAGTAGATGTGTTTCTACTTAAAAAAAAATACTATCTTTTTTATTCTGAACAAGAATGAGATTACTTCCTTTGAGGGAAATAAGATAATATTTGCAACTGAGCTGACCCCCAGCAGCACAAATATAAAGTAAAACACCAGCATTATCTTTTAAAAGTCAATCAAACAAACAAACACACTTCTCACTTCCTCTGAGACTAAACAAGCACAGTAGCTGTTACGCAATCAGCATTGAAATCTCATCATTGTGCGTCAATCAGTCAACTAACAAAGCAGTTTATGGATTATAGATTATTGGCTGCAGAAAGTGTATAAGCACATTAATGGAGACCATTAATCATGTAGTTAACAGTATGCTGCTGTAGCTGAGGCATGGAGGGCAGGAAGCTGCTTTGGTAGAGAAAACCAGGTCCTGGAGAGTTTGACTGCTTCAGCAAAGCAGATAAACCAGGAGCTGTTTGTCCCCTAGAAACATCCTCTAATGGTTTAGGGTGTTAGGATGAGGTTGCTATGGTAACTACAGTACACAGAAGATGGACGGTGATCGGATGGGATGGATGTGTGGCTCGGAGGTTTGACCCTGTCAGGGGGAGAATACGACGAAGAATCCACACTTTCTTTCTCGCTTATTCTGTCTCTCAAAGTCACATTCATGAACACACACACACACATACATACATACACACACACACACACACACACACTCACTCACACACACTAACACCCAACATTTCTTTTGCTTCCGATGTTCCTTCGTCAGCATCACTTACCTTTTGGTCCGGGTAAACCTGGTGGGCCTGGTAACCCAGGTATACCGGGGTCTCCGGCATCTCCGCGGAAGCCGGGCGTTCCGACGTAGCCAACACCGGGATCTCCAGGGGCGCCAGGACGACCCTTAGGCCCTGGGAACCCTGGGAAACCTTTCTCCCCATATGTGCCAAAGCCAGCGTCACCCTGGAGAGGAAAAATTGTTTAAAAATCATCCTTTGTACACCTTCTTTTGAGAACTTGCTAAAACATGCACCTTTAGACACTGTGTGTGTAAGCACTCACAGGGGGTCCAGGTCCTCCGGGGAAGCCAGGCAGTCCGTCTCTGCCAGGTTTCCCAGTTTCACCTGTAGGTCCTCTGGGACCAGTAGCGCCAAGCTCTCCCTTTACCCCCAAACCCAGAGTGGGATAGTAAGAGTCCCCCTTCTCTCCCTTACGACCAAAGTAACCCCTGTCACCAGCACGACCCTGCAAAAGGACAGAAATTATAGATTTTTATAAAGCTTGCATTACTTAAGAAACCTTTTTAAATACCATAACACCATAAATGACTCTTTATTTAAAATTGTGATAAAACAATTCTACTTACAGGAGGTCCCTGAACGCCACCAAAACCGGGTGAACCGGAGTCACCAGGCTCACCCTTTCTTCCAGGATAGCCAGGGTTGCCATTGCTTCCTGGGACGCCAGGTAAACCAGGCAACCCTGAGGTGCCTCCTCCTGCGCAGGCACAGTCGCCAGGATCACCTGGAGGATGGAGGAAACGGGACAACAAGGATGGCAGAAAGTAGAAAGGAAGATAGAAGATGAATAAAAGAATGGAACGAGGGAGGAGGGGATCCAAAATTATTTGTGTGCAGAAAGGAATGTCCAAAATTCAACTTCTTTACTCAAATAAAAGTAAAAAGGTACAGGCTCTGAAATGTACGTAAAGTATGAAAGTAAAAAATACTTCACGTCTTGATTTCTCTGAGGAACATTTCTACTGGCTGTTTCTGTGCAAAGCTAACTGAAACTTCATATAAAGTCTGCCTCTCCTGCCAGTTTTGTCTTGTTACGTCGTTGTTATGTACATCATGCATGATGTTGGGAAGGCTTGCAATGATGCAAAAATGCATTAAAACTAAACTAACAAGCCTGTTTTGAAGAGGTATAACAATATGTATATAAATATGTTATTTTCTATGTACATTCAGTACTTATGAAGTATATATGAAAAGAATGTGGATATTAATATGATTTGGAATATGATATGATGATGGAAAAATACTGTTTCATTCATTATATTTTTCTGTGTCTTATCTGTTTTCATGTTTCTTTTTTATGTTTTGTGTGGACCCCATAAAGAGTAGCCGATGTTCTGCATTAATTAATGGGGATCATAAGAAATTCGTAAGAAAATCATAATTTCTTGTAGAGGATATTCAGCCAGTATGTGTGTACCTCTAAAGCCTTTGTATCCTGGGCCACCCGGTTCTCCTCTGGCGCCAGGCAACCCGGGCTGTCCAGGAAAACTAGAGGGGATACCTGAGGGAGAACCTGCAAGCAAACACATATATAAAGTTAAAACGGTTAGAGGTTAAAATGGTCAATTAGGCACAAATCCTGTGTTGTTTAGATTTCACACAGTCTGAACTTAAGCTGAATTGCACTGAGTGATGTAAGATGTAAAAACAATGGATATGTGTAAAGTTCTTGTCTTGAAGGAACTTATTTTTATGCAAGTCACACCTGAATATTTATATAATATAAACAGGAAACCGGCACAGTGCAAGTGCAGCTTGGTGTCACAGTGTGAAATCAGGATTAGTCTCTTTTTATCAGCATGTAATATGAAAGAGTTTAGCTGCTGCTGCAAGATGACAGATGCTTATTTAAGAAAGCATTAACTTGTTTATATTGTGTTAAAATATAAAACAGAATTGTACTTAGCATGAACCAATTCAGTGATTTTACATTATTATGGCTTAAGAGCTACTTGACACAAGCAGCATGTATAGGCTGTTGCAGTTTGGCACCTACAAAAACAAAGGAAACAAACTGCTAACAATATACACTCGTCTTATTATTTTGGGTCCAGTAAAAAAGTAGTCAACTTACTACTGATTTAAGTAAATTTGTGCAGCTGCAAGAAAGATTTTGTTGAAATATTTTAAATATCTTCCTGACAAACTGAGAAAAAAACAAGTGTTTATTTTTTGATTATGATGATTATTACCATTATTACAATTTTTTTTTTTTTTTTAATTTTTTAGTTTGTGTAATATTTTTCTTTATTTAAAAAAAATCGTTGTTTGCCATGCTAAATGTCCATGTAAAATCAGTGAATTTATGTTTACACCAGGCGACACCATGTGGCCAAAGATGAGAAAAGCAGCTTGGAGTAGAGAGACCCTCCTATCCAAGTCTGAAGCCTCGGCTCTTCTCAGCTATACTTACCACCGCACCCTCCGCAGAGTATAGCGTAAATAAAAAGCATTTCGGCAGCTTAGACACTGCCTGCTGAAAGTTGTGTTTGTAGTTTTGAATTTTGCTTGGTAGACTGAATATTGCCATGGCGATCATAGCAATATGGCCACCTTTAGGATACCTGCCTTCGGGACCCACCAACTCAGGAACGATGACACAGGGACCAACGGCAAGGCCTTGGAGAACAGTTAAATGAGTCAGCCATGATGTTTTAAAGTTTGTTTCTAGCGGTACTTTTAGCGATGTAGTAGTTTTTACAGCTTCTTTTATGCCAACCGTAGCTCTGTGTCAAGATGATAAAGATGCTGTATCCTCATCAAGAAGGTTCTAATTTTTACATCATTTTAATCGCAACAAAATTAATTATTTTAAGCTCCTTTCATTCAAAGGATCCAGCTTAAAGTGCTTTGTCAAAGTCAAATAATTAGCTGAATAAACAACAGTTAAGATTCGAAACGTTACTATTGGAAGCCTTTAATGACCCTTTAGACCTTCATGGATTTGAACTTTTCATCTCAAATAAGCCACTTCAACCCTCATCATTGCCACCTGTGAACGAAGATTCAAAGAGCTTTCATCAGTCGATTCTGTCTGAACCTACTAGAGGGGCCCTGAGGTCCAGGAGAGCCGGGGGGTCCGGGGAGCCCAGGTGAGCCGGGGAGTCCTTCGGAGCCATAGCCTGGTACGCCTGCGTTACCTTTCTCTCCCTTCGGGCCTGGGGTTCCAGGAAAACCTGGGGATCCGCCACGGCCTGCATATGCGTCAGGAGGACAGAGGAGATGATTTAGTAAATTGACATTTTACTGTAAAAATAAACCCAACAGTTTATCAGTTGCAGATTATTCATGATTACACTATATGTGCATTCCAAAACTACATTTATTGATTATTCAACCATTAAGTCTTTATACTGTTTAAGTGTCTGCAAATATTACCTGAACCATAAGCAATTCCTGGTGGGCCTGGTTGTCCTGGGAATCCTGGAGGTCCCTGGTCACCACGCGCACCAGGATATCCGCCAAGACCTGGGTCACCCGGTGCTCCTGTAGCCAATCAAAGAAGAGACAAGTCAACACAGGAAACTTGCACACAATGAAAGTTTACTTACAGTGGACCTGTGATTGATCCATTGAATTATTTGTATTTTGTGCGTTTGTTTCACCTTGAACAGCAGTGCCATAATTACTAATGTAAGCTGGAGGTCCTGGTGGTCCGGGGTCTCCCTGGTCTCCCTATTAGACACACACAACCAGGTCACGACAAAATTTCACATCACAGGAATGTCTTCGACTCGAATTGTGGTGTGAAAAAACGTATGTCAGGCTGAAAGAATTCAGGGGGATTTAATGCCTACTCTGATCAACCTAAGGGGATTGCTTTGATATGTTGAGCAACAACCGCATTCTCAAAAAAGTTAGGAGAGAAAACTGATACCATTCTCATTTGTAACTGTTATGATAAATGCTAGTGTCAGGAGCCAGTTAGTTTAACATTAGCTTAGTATACATTCTGGAAACAAAAATGTAAGAAACGCTGGCACCATCTGCTGGTAAAACAAGGGTATTGCAGCACAAATCCAGTATATATACATACAGTTAATTTTAAGCAGGGTTTGAATATGTAGTTGAGTTTGTTTTACAATGGAAAAGAGATTTTTGCTGACCCACAATGCAAGGCACAAATAAGCTTCTTCTTGAAAAAGTTAAAGTAATAATAAATGGTGGTAAAGCAGCTCCAGGAACACATTAGAAAACACATTGTCTCGTATAGTAACTAACAGCAAAAACAGCACACTATTCAGGTCAGTATATTAAATACTGTATGCCATTAGTATGTGGTATAGAATTGGGACATAGCAAAATACTCTTACTTTCAGCTAAGACGAAGACTCTTAGTGAAACAGGAGGTGTGTGCAAACACACACACACACACACACAACACACACACACACACACACACACACACACACACACACACTCATTTTACCTTGGGTCCAATGTATCCTGGTTGCCCGGGGAAACCTGGGTTGCCTGTATATCCCTGTGTCAGAAACAAATCTGGTTTGAATTTACTGTACAGATGACGGGGGTTTCAGAAAATACTGCACAAACAGCACAAGTGTTAATGCTATAACAGTACATACAGTAAAATGATAAAACAGGGCTGGATATAACGATAAATGCCAATTTCTAAGACTCTGAAAAGAGGAACATTTGACTTTTTATTGTGCATTTTACTGATAATTCATCAATATCTACTAACATTTTACTTGTAACAGAGTATTTTAGCAAGTAGCATAAGACCAGAACTATGTTTAATGGTTTGAATGGACACTTGTAAGCCAATCAGAAATTAGTATTTTCTGTGGCCATTTTACCATTTAGTGGCTCATAATATTGTCTTTTCAGTTCTTGAATATCAAAAAATAAAGCCTACCTGTTGTCCTGGAGAACCAGGAGGCCCGTTAAAACCAGGAGCACCCTGTTTAGTGGAATCAAACGCAATATTCACCACAAAGAAATGGAAATGGAAAAAACAATGCAAAACATTTCACCATGGAACCGAAAACAAACAAAATTTCTACTTCTTCTCCAATGTATGAAATAATAAAATAATAGTCAGTTGTTAGCTCTTACTCTTCCGCCGGGGTATCCAGGAATGCCTTTCTCTCCAGGTTCACCGCGATAGCCAAAAGGTCCCTGGAAAAGAGAGATAGGTAAGTGATTCTCTCCAGTAAAGTCACCTTGCATTTTTGCTACGATATTAGCATTTAACACATTACCAGTATGTCTAATCGCTTGTACAGAAATTACATAAATAATTGTTCTGGAAAGAAAAAAACCAACAAACTTACTGGTGGGCCAACGCTGCCAGGAAATCCTCTGATTCCCTTTGGGCCAGGTTCACCCTTTGAGAAAGACAGAGAGAGAACCAAGGTGAACTTGAGAACGGCACCATTTTGGAGTGTTTAGGAACAACCAGGGTTTCTGCAGGTTAAATTTAAGACTTTTTCAGACCTTTTTCAGACCATTATGAATACAATTTCAGATCTATTTTACATCCATACAGGCAAAAAAACCTACAAAGGATACGAAGGAAAATTGGTATTTGATCCACGTCGGTTCGATACAAAACAAATTTATCCCAAAACGCTTAAAACCAAGACTGAAAAATGCAATGTTAATTATTGCAATCCATAATTAATTTTAGACCAGTCAAAATCATATTTGAGACATTTTAAGGCCTAAAATTTAAATAAAACCTTTCAAGTCTTTTTAAGACCCAACAGACACCCTGAACAACAAAGTAAACTATGAGCAATGCAGTAAACAGATTGTATCTGGCTTTCTGGTTTTAAACTGTTCATACATTATCTCACACATTCTTTTTATGTAAACTTACCTTTGAAAGTCCATGCAAACAGTAAAATCAAAGGAAAGACAAAAACAACAAAAACTGTCCCGCTAACATAGGATTTAACTCTTTCAATCTGGCCTCAAGGGTGGTAGGAATAATATGTGGATCATGTCGATGTTGAAACAGATTAGACTGGCTGAGGTTCTTTTGAGATTGAAGTCTCCCATCCCAGCCACAGCACTGTTCAAGCCTCGAGAGGATGCACTGCATTGGGCTTAGATAGCTGAGGATTCCAGGGTGGATCACTAAAATTATTTTCATCTTGATGTTTAGCAACACTTAAGATAGAGAGCTACCACAAGGGGGTTTTCCACTCAGTATTCCACTTCAGGTGCAGCATCTCTCTTTGCTTGACATTCATAATTTGAGTGCTGAAAAAAGCATTCAATTATGCGATTAATTAAACTATTATGTCATCAAAAGGATCATTTGTTTTTAGTTACTTCCTGAATTAAAATGTTGTGGTTTACAGTAATAGATAATGCTCAAATCTTGGATGTCTGAGCGCCCTTAAAAGCAACAACAAAGACATACCTTGATAACAACAGCATTACCATGATGACAAAAAGTATTTCCTTTTCCTTTTCCTGCAAGTTAGTTTCACATCTAGTCAAGTTAAAGGTGGGTCAGTCCTTCTGGAGAGTTGATTCTTGAGTTGCATTCCCAAGTCAGTACCGAAGCTTTGGATTGGTGGCTCAAAGAAAATTGATAGTTGAGTCTAATTTGCATCACCACCTGTTATGTTGCGTGGCTTGCTGTTCCCATTTACCTCAACCAAAAACGTCTTTATTTGACGACTCTGGAATGAGACTCAATAAACAAATACCTTTTTCAAAATTGGCAGACCTGCCTTAGATTTCCATACTGTATTGAAATGAGATTAAACCATAAAATGGTTAAATAGCATTGGTATGTTTCCAAAGAAAGACAAACAAACAAGCCAAACCACAAGTAACTACCAATCCAAGAGAATCTTGCAAAGATGAGGTAAGAGGACACACGGCTGTATTTGGACACTCTCAGACATTATAACTATGTCCATCTTTGACTCAGTGTGGGTCATCCTGCTTGGAAATGTCCACTATGAGAAGAGTTGCATTTTCCAACAAACCTGCATTCCTTTGTCTCCTTTGGGAAAACCCATTAACTCCACAACGCCATTGACCATTGGCTGGCCGGGGTCACCGGGCAAGCCCACGTCGCCCTGGATGCCGTAATCAAGGAAGAGAGAGCTGTTTACACTGGCCATGAGGGGATAAGGCGGGAAAAAAGGAGGTGGAAAAACAACGGCAGAGTTCTGGGGCATTTACGGGGGACCGTTGAGGCCGAACTGTGGGTAAAGCCACTGAAGGGGATGTTGTGCACAGAAGGAGTAGAGGAGTGAGGAAATACTAGGGTGGTGATGAGAGGTTGGTCTTATTAGAAAAAGTTAATTGCTTTAGTTAAATTTGATAAGAGTCCAAGAATCTTTTGAGGCAGAAAGGATCTAACTGGTTGAGTTACACCTCAATGGAAGGAGTTTAAATTTCATGTACTACTGATGATGAAAGTCTTCATCTTGGTCCGTCAACGGGATATCTATCTGAATAAAGATTATCTGGATTTTGGGCCAATAAAATCTCAACAAAAACTCAAGTTACTTGGTGTTTACGAAGCTTTCGGACAGATCTTGCAGCCTGAATTCTGTACTGGACAACTTCATCCACTGAAGAAAGTCACAAAATGTGGTTGGAAGCTACAGAAACACCAAGTTATTTTACAGGTCAAGCATGGATTGTTAAACTTGCCAATTTTCTTTTCCTATTTCTTTTCCTGTACTCAGTTACTTGGTTAGGTTTAAGGTAAGAATATCAGGGTGATTCTTGTGTCTCAAGTTGCTAATCGGACTGTAAACAATGACCGGCACACAGAAGAGGAAGTCTTGGCCATCTGCTATCCTGATATCTCCTGGCTACACCTGAAGCATTGACTGTTCCAAGATTCATAATCTGCTAGATCATGATGTAATAGCCTTCATTCAAGATTTTACCTCCTTTTCCTATAATTGTGCATCACATATTCAGTATGTTTGTAAACCTTTGCAATAAGACTAGATTTAAAATGAACTTCAGTGGGGTGAAAAGTTTATTTCTGGTTTCAGAGGAGCTCTACTTGTAGTATTGTTTGACAATCTCCAAAGATTCTGGACTGATGCTCTGTTGGACCAACCTCTCCTCCGCCTCACTCCCAAATCTCCTCCTCCTTCGACTCCTCTCTTCTCTGTGACAGAACACATCCTCCCCTCCCTGGCTGTAAAGTTTGCTGCAATCACTGCTCCTCTTCCTCTTTCTACCAACAAACAGCCTGCTGCGTTACTGACCTTCTTCACCACTTTAGTGAAACCCCACCTTGTGTGTGTGTGTGTGTGTGTGTGTATGTGTGTGTGTGTGTGTGTGTGTGTGTGTGTTGTGGAGGAGCTACATCTTCTGCTCCTAGCCTTCCCTTGCTGTGTTACCTTATCTCCTTTGTAGATAGTGAGAGTTTGTTCGCTTCTTAGTGACCCGTCGCCGGGAGTACCACTGGGCCCGGGAAGACCCACGTCGCCCTGGAGTCCGAAATACATACAACACACGTTAGCCAATCAGGAGGGTGGAGGGAGGGGGCGGAGGAGAATCAGGAAGAAATAACGGGAGGTGAGAGGAAAAGAAGTAGATAGGAGAGAGCAGCAGAAGGTGAAGAAAACATGTATGAAAGGAAACAGAAAAATAAACAAAAAGTGTATAGAAAGATAGATAAATACACTACATGGCCAAAAGCGTGTGGACACCAGCCTCGTATGTGATTGCTGATCGTGTCGTTCCAAAATCGTGATCATTAATCAGCTGCTGCTACAACAGCCTCAGCTCTTCTGGTAAAGCTTTCCACAAGATTTCAGGAATCTGGCTGCAGGTCTCAGCTATTGCACAGTAACTCTCGCTTCCAGGTGACCAGGTCCTCTATGAAGTCTCAATTTCAAATGTTATTACTTTACAGTGGCTTCCCATCAAAATCAGAATCCAATTCAAGATTAGTTTGCATTGGACAGCTACTGCAGCAAGTCTGGGTTTCTTGTTTTATCCTTCCTCTAGGCTCAACATTAAAGGAAAGTGAAGTTGTGGCTCCTTAAAGGGGAACTCCACTCCAGCTCTTGTGGGGGAGTGCTATTGCATATTAGCTGCAGCTTTGTGTGGCTCCAGAGGGAGCTGCAAGGAATCTGACCAGTTACCTCAAGTGATGTCACTTGAGTCAGGGTCAGTTGGTGCTGAAGACTACAAAATATAAAAAATAAAAATAAAGTGGAATTAAGTCCATCGTAAAATTAGAGGATTTAATATCTATGGATACTAAGGAAATACCCCAAAAGTACTCAAAACTCACCTGCTTACAATGGCCTTTGTGTACTTCTTATTTATTTTAACTCTTCTTATTATTTATTTTATATCTGTCATCTGATTTTTAATTGTGGAGCAGTTTGCGACATCTGCTCATGAAAACTGCTGCATAAATAAAACTACCTGCTTCCAAATAAAACACTGAAGGCCTCCGAGGAAAAGCGAACAAAAGCATGTCTGTCCACATACTTTTGGCTATATAGTGTGCAGAGATAGACTGAACAAACAACCTGTTGTTCCCATAGAAGAAGTGATCCAGGAGAAAAAAACAAAAAAAAAAAAGAGAGAAGAGAAAAATGAATGCAGAGAGAGAGAGGAAGAGAGAACACAAGACAAAGAGAGAAAAGATGAAGAGAGAGCTGAGGGATACTTTATCTTGAATTTCTTGTTGATCAATTTTTAAGAAATTTCGAGCGCCCATTTTTCCCCGCAGCTCAAAGGGAAACACAAATGCATCCTACAGGAATGTATCTCAACAGGCTCAGCAGTAAATCCAGCTGTTTCCACATTCAGTTCAACCCTGAATCCTTCCGAGTTCAGTGTTTGAGAGTTTGATGAGCGTAAACATGCATGCAGTGTGTGAGGAAGATGACTGTTAGTACTCTTGTATGACTGTTCAAAATGAGATGGGTGGGTGGGTGGATGGATGGGGGATGAGGAGTCAAAAGAGCAGGCAAATGAACTACAAATCCCAGAGTTCACCACCGAGAAGCCCAAAAACGTGATTAAAAAAGGGGAGGTGCAGTGCAACGTGGGAAGGAGGAGCAAGTGATTCCAGCACCCAGTTACAGTCCACAGATCGTCCTCCAGAGTGACAGCTCAGAAATTTAAAAATTAAAATTTCCTTTTTTAAATTATAATTAGTGTAATTTTCTTGATTTAAGAAGGATTCTAAAATTGAAAGCTGCACAGCTCAAGATTTGATTAATGTTTCTTAAGCATTTGATCTTTTTTTCCCAATTTGGGAGAAAAATCAAGTCAAATCTCTGACCTGTCATCCAACATCGAGGGAAACAAGTGTGCGATGCCACTGGTCAACTCACAAACAATACTTGAAATCGTTTTTTGAACTAGAAGTACACTTTTTTTTTTATCACTCTTTTAAGAATTTGAATATGATTCGAAATGAAACACACAATCCAGATCTGACAGAAAACATCTCAGTGAGTTTGTGACTTGTCTCAGTGGCAGCACAGATCATTTGAAAGAACAAACCAGACTGAATCAAGTAGAGGTTCATGTGATCTTTTTATCAAACAGGAAACGGATGCAACAAACAGTTCAGTAGTTGTGTCAATCTGGGGATGGAGAGAGGGAGGAGGAGGAGGAGGAGGAGGAGGAGGAGGAGGGAGGGATGCAGGGACGGGTGGGGTTAAGGAGGGATGGATGGATGGAGGGTAAATTGCGTTGGACGGAAGAAGTACAGATTGTCAAACCACCACCAGTCAGATTTTTAACATGCGAGGTATTATGTCCAACCAATTCATTTTACAAACATGCATACACACATCAGTGCATACACACTCACACACACACACACACACACACACACACACACACACACACACACCTAGGATCCAGCTAGAGCACTCTAAGCCTGCTGCTTAACCTGATGCGCTAATCTGTCGCTGATATTTATGGGAATAAAGTGAGAGAAAGTGTAAAAAACACAAAAAAAAAACCTCTGTATCCTTTGATCACAGAAAATATTCTTTGGGAAACTTTTAGGATGAAACGTCTTGATTTAGTGAGGCATGAAGGTTTAAAAGGCCTGCTGGTTTTAACCTCACTGGGTCGATACAGGTCCAGTTTATTGTAATCAATCTGATTTTATTATTTTTCCTGATAAAGAACCTGTCAATGTTTTAAACCAACAAAAAGTTTCTGAAGAATATTTTTTTACTGCAACCTGTTTTAAGTGAAACTGATTAGGCATTGTCTTAAAAGACTGTGCTGTGTCTGGGACATGTTAGCCAAATGTAGCTTAGCACAAAGACTGCAAGTAGGGAAAAGCAGCTTGATTGCTAACTAGCTAAACAAATTGCCAAAAATATATTCAACAACTGGCTGCAAATTACTTTTTCAATATTTTTTCCGTGCAGTGAGATGTAATTTAGACAGCAATGTATGTTAATTTTGTCAAACAGATATTGAATATCTGGAACATCTACATCTACACCTGTAACATTAATACACTTTTTTTGGGCCAGAATGCATGGGTGGTTCATTTTTTAATAACATAATGTTAAGTTTTGTGTTTTTATGCAAAACAAAGATGTTGAATTTGTTGAACTTTTATAAAATAATATTTTAACTGTAGATAAATTTTATATTTACAAGTGTAGATTTTTGTGGCTCCAAGCTCTGTGACTTGAAAATCTTCTCTAATATCCTTAAGACTTGCAAATTACTTTATAATTTATATAATTAAATAATTATATGCTGATTAAACCCCATTTAAGTTGATTTAATTGACCTACATTTTAGATCCTTTTTTTTCTTTTATGCTCACGTATGCTGCTTGGATGCATTGTTATGTATGCTTAAAAACAATTGACGATGCCTGTTTATTATTTGAAGAAGTTTAATTAAAAAAATCTGTATTGTTTCCCACAGCCGGTTTTAGTGCTAAGTTAGGCTAATGCATCCCAAATGCACACCTGGAGAGACAGACATCAAACTGATATTGATCATCAGACTTATTTCAGCCAAGATGATAAACTATTCTTATATTGGACTTCCTCTCGGGTTTGTTTTCATACATCTATTGTCGTGGATTTTACACTTTCTCTGGTCTCTGAATACATCTCAAACTAGCACCTGAGATGACATCCTGGAGATAAAGTATCCTCAATCTCACTCACATTTGATTCGAAACATATTTGTTTCATGTTTTATTACGTCTGTATGTGTGTGTCATTTCTCAGGTGGGAATTAACACCAAAACAGACAATGAAATACTAGCTGATTCTTCTCCTGTTTATCGTGTAGGTGATGGAAGATTTGTACTAATTTCCAGCATCAACAGGCCGTTATGTGTGTGTGACTTAATCTCTAAAGACAAATGAGTACATACAAGCTCGTCAGTTAACAAATCGTACCTTGTCTCCTCTCTCTCCTTGATATCCGTCACTACGGCTCCCCTGAAAACAACAAGGGTTAACAAAAACTTGACAAGAACAAAAGCTTTAAACTGTAAAACTGAGGCAAAACTTCTGTACAACCACGCTTACTGCCTTATAAAAGAATATAATGCATTACTGTACTCTATTATTTTACTTACCATTGGCCCTGGGGGGCCGGGAGGACCAGGCGGGCCCTAAAGACAAACGACAGAATCAGACTCAATTTCACAGATAAAGTAAGAAACAAAATCGGAAGTAATTTTCAAAAATTGTGTCTGTAATGACTTTTACTGTAATAAAAACATACAAAATCATCAAAAAACATTAATTCTGCACATGTAATAAAATTCTTATACATATTCATTTATTCACTGGCAAGTCTAACTTCAGTATCACAGTACTACTTTATACTAGAATAGAAATGAATTAATGTAGTACTATTTAATTGCTTTTAAATATTAGCTGTAACTTTCTTACCCAAAAGGTATAAGCTAAACTCCTTAGAAGTTAATTAACGCTAGCTGATGTAATAATTAATTACTTTTTGGTATAATAAACTGCTTTTCTGGCATCTTCAGCTCCTTTACTGCATAACGTTTTCTCACCGCTTGAGCCGGTTGTGAAGTAATCTTGTTTTTTCATAACGATCAATTACACAACAATCTGAACCTCTGAGCATTAGAAATATGTAAGTGGATAGGATGTTAAGACACAGGGAGAAAGTGGAAAAGATACATTGGTTTACATACAGGGTATCCTTCAGGGCCGCTTGGACCAGTAAAACCAGGTGGACCATCAGGACCTCTGATACCCTGCAGAGAAAAACATTTAAATCTTATTATTTTACACAGCTGATGACAAGTGTGTAGCTAACATTTAGTGAAAAATGCATGCAGTTCATTCTCTTCTTTTTCTGTTTTCCTGTTATTTTTTACATTTACAAATTCAATATATTTTGCATTACAGCATTTTATAGTGCTCAAGTGTGTCATTTTGTATTAAAGATAATTTATCACAGTGTTGTTGCATGTAAGCAGAAAAAGTGGAAATCTTACAGGTTGACCGTTCTGTCCTGGTAAACCTGGTAAACTCTAAATGAGGAAAAAGAAAAAGGGATTAATTAACCATTAATCATTTAATAATTATCAGAATACAGACAATAAAGTTGTTTTGGAATCAGGAGAATATCTTAATCCTGTTTGTACACAGATGAGATTCATGCAAAGTTTCATGGGAGTCAGACTCATGACCAAAACTACTGCAATTAAATTTTACTGTATTATTACTATAGAACCACCTAGAAACACACTTTGCAGGTCAGCTCGGAGCTGATATGTGCCTGTTTGTATCATAGCAGTGAGTTATGATGTTTCTTTAAAATATGACAAATGATAGAAAAATAATATTAAATATAAATCTGTTTTTTTTTTTTTTGTATTTTAATTTTGTTTTTAAATGTTACACTATAGCAGGAGTGCCAAGAAGGTCAGACCAGTAAAACCGGTGCATTATAGCCTATAAATAACAACTATTCTAAATGGTAACCTTTTTTTTAGTTCAAAGGGTACATTAAGAAAATGTTCACAGTTAGCTTCCATTGACAAAACAGCCTGAGATGTTTCAAGAAAAATAAGTGCAATATGTCTCCGTTTTCGCCACAGTGAGTCGGTCCATAAGCATTACAATGTACAGATCACTGTGGATCTACAAAAGGCACAAATTAGTGAAATCCACACCAAATCTAGCCCTTTTCCACCAAATTTAATTAAACATTTCAACACGTTTTTGAGAAATCCAAACAAAGAGACAAACTACTGGACAAAACACATTTTCTTAATATCAAATGGAAAGCTGTTTTTGTCTTTCAAAGGCCGAGAGGAGATTAAAGATCGGTTCACACTTTAATAAAGACAATATATAGAAATCCATTATCTTGTGTGTGTGTGAGTTAATCTGAATATGTGTGTGAGATTTTACCGTGAAGCCTGCATCCGAGATGAATCGAGGTTCTCCTTTCTGACCCTTTGGCCCGGTAGGCCCCTGTTGGAGGAAAGGACGCCATCAGTATCCCTCTATCACATGCAGTGACATATTCTATAAATAATGAGACTGAAACATCCAAAATACAATGGAGACTAATAAAAAAGGAATTGATGTTCGTCCTCACAGAAAATCCAGGAGCTCCAGGTTGTCCTGGAGTGAGTGGTCCGTAGCCAGGCGGTCCAGGATCTCCTCTGGTCCCGTTACAGCCGTCCAGTCCTGATGGTCCTCTGCCACCCTCAAGACCAGGGTGACCCTACAGAGAGAAGGAGAGGAGGGATTGTGTTTTTATTACAATGTGAGGGTTTGTTGTCACATGACAATAGTGAACAATAGTGCTGAAAAAGAGTTTTACTGTACAAACATGAATACATATATGTGTGTATTTGTCTTTCTGGTGTACTTACAGGTACTCCATCATTTCCTTGGAACCCTGGAACTCCCATAGGCCCCTGGATAAGTAAATAATCAATAGTGTTCATATATAATCAGTTTCAATAGCAAGACCTGGTGGTGAAAACATGTTACTGCTTGGTTGATGCGCACAGATTCAGTTGTTTGGATGAAAGTTTGTACATTTATCTTATCATGAAATACAATTAATTCAATATTTCAAGTTAAATAATTCATGTATTTGGTAAAGAATAATTTAAAAACAGGTTATTGGTTAAATGTCAAATATTTAATTGTAAAAACAACAAATTAACCATTTTAAGATCTATAACACCCACTTTGTCTCCTTTTTGACCAGATGGTCCTTTCAGTCCAATGTGGCCCTTCTCTCCTTTAGGCCCTACAGGCCCTACGGGCCCACGTGGCCCTTCTGATCCACTCTGACCAACTTCCCCGAGAGGCCCAGGACGACCCTGAGAGAAAAGAGAAGAGACATGGTCACTTTTCAAGCCAAGAAGGAAGAAAAAACAGCAGATATCCACAATGAAGCTCCTTTTTTTCCTTTTTTATTAGTATTAAGTCAAATTAGGCCTCACTGCAGAGGCTATGAAACAACAACATTTCCCAAAAAAACATTTTATTAAACACAAAGTGACATTTTTTCTGACTTCCAAGGATTTAAACAAGTCTCTTAAGGGAGTTGTACAAATCAAATCAAATCAATCAATGGACAAGAGGAGGGTAACCCTAAAATAACAACCTAAAAGATACAATTGTGCATGGTGTTGTCAGTCTTATTCTCCAGAATAACTGAGTCCGCCATGAACCTCCTGTGAACAGTCCATAACTGCATGCTGCTATATCAAAATTATGGTAATTTGGGGATATAATATCTTAATCGGGTGCTGAAAATAGTCCCCAACAGACACACTATTTCTCCTATTTGAGTGATGTTTTCACAGAGGCACAGAGACCAGCTATTTTAGGGAATTACTGAGCCCATTTTAAAATGAAACTACAATATTTGTGACCCATCAGCCTTACCCTCTAACTTATATTTCCTGTCATAAAAATTACAGTTTGTAGTTAGGGCCACGTGCATCCACATCTAACGCACCTCTGATCTTTTGAAAGCTACACTATGGAGTTGAATGCATCATTATTGTGACTTATGTCTGCATCCTTACTGTGACTTACCTCTGATTTAAAAACTCAGTGAAGATGTGATAATCCTAAGTAAGTGACCTGCATACAACGCCCAGTGTAAGCCTCTTGTATGACCCATTATCAGCTTTATCTGATGTAGTCTGAGTAAACAGTGTCTTCATTTCCACATCATTCTTTCCTTCCTTTCATCAACATCATTACACACCATCATCTACCTGATGAGGGAGTGTTTCGAGCTGGGGGAAACACTTGCAAACAAATTCCTGGGGAAGCCATTTTGTCTTTGTGTTATGGATTTGATGGGTGTGTTTACATGAGATGGGAACAAGTCAGGGCAGAAAAACCCAGCTGTGGGGGGGGGGTTTTTCTCATGGAGGGATTTTAACACGTGAGTGTGCCTCACAATCCCGAATCTCAGAGGGATGGTGAAGTGCTTTATGTGGGCATGCAGCGGCATGTGGGCTTAGACGGTGGTCTGGGAGAAAAAGTGCTACTGTGGGCCTGAAAATCAAAGAAAAGAAGGCTGATTTTTTACTTTACTTATGATAATGTTTTAAAGGATACAACTTTTGGGGGGTTTGTCAAGAAAAAAGGTATAGTGTACAGCATTTATCTTGATATGAAAGCTGCAGATGACATGCTGCACTACCAATTTCAACCACATGATGGCAGTAGAAAAACAAAAACATTAGCAGGTGCTGATCAAGAGCTGGTGAAAAGAACAAGCCAAAGGAATCCCTCTCTTAAGAGGCAGAGTTTGTTAAGACAAAAACACACATTCACACTACAGCTTCAACTAGTGACAACCTGCCATTAGCTTATATTTTAAGCAGTATAACAGGGAAGGCAGAGAGGAGACAGATGGAGGGAGGAGAGGGAGGAGAGGGAGGAGAGACGGACAGATGTGCTCGGGTCAAAGGAAAGTCAGAGGATTTTCAGAGCGAAAAAAACGACTCAGACAGGCTGAAATTTGGTGTATTTTTGTTTTAACACAGTCAGTTAGATTAAAAAGATCCTCTATTAACATGCAAACAGGGGTTTTCTTTTACTGTTGTGTAAATGTAGGCTATATTTCTTATCAAAAATTTGAATCTGAGCAATTTTGTTTCAATTCATTCACGAAGACGTCACACAATAATGTTAACTGGGGAAGTAAACCAGTGCTGCAGATGTACATTTAACACTTGTGAGACATTTATAGCTACATTTATTGAGCTCAGATGCATGTATATACTTGCATGCATGCACGTGTGTGACTGCATATTCCAGAGGATGTTTCTTACGACCACATTCTTATCTTAAATTATTATCTACCCTAAAAGCATGTTTAGCTTTGCCCTTAATTTAACCTAATTTAGCTCCGCACTGACATCACAAAAGTACAGTATATGCACATGCACAGAGATTGCACACCATTCATTACACACAAGGTAAAGGTTCACACACCCCTATATTATACACACACACAAACGCGCGCGATACAAAAAGAAAGGTACTTTTCTACTCCACACCTGGTCCTATTCATATATAACTGCTCTGCCTGCAGACACAAACCCATTTAACTAGTGTAACAACAAATCTAACATCAGGGGACATCATGGAAAAGGTCAAATACCAGTTACAAACAATCTTTAGCATTTCTTTTAGCCTGCAGGGAGTACCAGACAAGTACTAGTTTATAGCATCCGGACCATTTAGATAAAGACTGACAATCACACAAAAGTCCCTCTTGTGACTGTCCAAACTTTATGTTTTGTTCTGTATGTAGGCATGCCACACTTTGGTAGTATTTTGGCTATCTAGCTGCCGGTTAGCTTAGCTTAGCTTAGCTGTAAAACTCCAACGAGTCCTTTTTATGCTCTTTAGGTTAAACAAATTAGATAGAATGTGTTAATTACTGAGCTTCAGAGGTGCCAATAGGTGGATTTTGTTACGTTAAAGGCCAGACTACTTTCTTCCCTCATTTCAAGTCTTTATGCTAAGCTAAGCTAACTGTCCGCTGGCTGTAAAACTACATATTTATTGGACAAACACATGAGTGGTATCAATCTTCTCGGCATCTAACTCTCGGCAAGAAAGCGGATACGTATATTTCGCAAAATTTTGAACTACTCATTTAGTGTTTATGAAAATTAACTTTTGGGGCTCCTATTTTGAAAATGAATGAATACATTGAGAAAGTAATAACTAACCTTTTAGATGAATGTACAGACTGCAAAGCTTCATTTTAGAATACATAAACTTGACATGAAGTTACTCCAGTGATGTCACTGAGACCTACAGGTAGTTCCTGTTCCTTTACTGCACTTGGCTTTTAAAGTGACAATGATCGTGGATTAGCCTTGACCACACTGTGTGTCTAGTTAAGGTTGCAGCTCTGCTTCCAGCCCACGTGGCCTCGGGGCACGCAGGTTACAGTAATGACAGGGCTGTGGCAGGTAAAGGCAGCCTGTCGGAGCTGTCTGGCTCGCACTCACATCTGGTTTCACAAAATATGCCGGGGTCCCACTTTCTCTCACGCCTCGCTCTCCCATCCGTCCCTATCACGCTTTCTTTTCAGCCCTCGTCACCTTGAGTTTCATCTTCTTTTTTTCACCAATTATTTAATCTTGTTTCTTTATCGGACTTGTTGCTCTGTCATTTCTGCTTCCCCCTCCCTTCTATACGCCTGTAAGGGGTTGCAGGAGGCCTATAAGTGCAACCCTCTCAGGTCTATCTGTGTTCACGCGACAGCTCTAGAAAAAAAAACATACTTTGGAGGGTTTTAGGGTCACCTCATCAAAAGGCTTTCGATGTCTTTGTAGTATCTATTTTTCAGGTCACAGGAGTCACTTTCAAAGACTTGGATGGGTACTCTGTCTGCTATTATGTAAAAGGTGAGAGGTGAAGTGTGAGTTAAGGTGAAAAGACGGTTAGGTCCAAGTGTCCAGCAGGCACTGAACAATGCTTTTGTTGTTTTTACCACGCCCTAATCAACCATGGATGCATGAACATAGAGAGACTTTTCCTATTTGTGAAAACCTAAGAAATGTAAGAAACGACCAGTAAAATGTACTCTTCAGAGAGTCTCTTTCATGGTCAGCTGGAAGCGAGTGTCTTTGAGTGTTTGAAGGAGGAAGTGAGGTGAGTTTCTTAAAGGTTTAAACCATCTATCTCTGTTGATTTCCTAACATGGCATGGAATTAAAAAATGCAGTCTGCGGAGGAGAAGATCACAGAGGAAGAGCAGGGAGTGGAGATAAAAGTGAAGGGATGAAAGGGAACAAATAGGGGGGGAGGGGGGGACACAGAAAACCAATAAAGACAAAAATAGAAGGCTATTAAATCACATCAGATTTTGCTGGACCATGAGGCTGCTCTGAAAATGTCCACTAGGTGGCGATCTACCATTTCACACAGGTCACAACCTCCAGTGACCTCTGTATATAGAAACTCTGCATCCCAGCAAGCTGACTGATTAATAAAGCAAGTCTTTTATTGCAAGAAAGCTTTTTAATTGGGATCTACCCTTGTGATTTTCCACAGGTGCATGATGTTCTCACAAATACTTTTGCAAAATCTATGCTAATCCTCTAGGCTGCATTAATATCTTTTCGGCCACTAGGAGGCAGAATAACTCCACACAAGCTTACAGATATACGTCCCTGACATAATATCATCCTGTAAAATTATTATAGTGTGTTAGCAAACTGTTGAACTACAGAACTAGAACATCGGTGTGGATGTTTCATGTATAGACGTACAAAAAAGCGTCTTGGATCCATCCAAACTTCTCCTATGGTACTGATCGGATCGACTTCATACTTAGTCAGCGCAGTCTAAAGATCACAATTACAAGTTTATGCAGGGCCTATTCATCAATGCTTGCAGTCTTGATTTGGAGTAGTTTTTCTGGCCACCTACTGAAGGCAAGTCGAATAGTTTGGTTTCCACCAACTCAACAAGAAAATGTCTGGTTCTAAAGAAGCTACAAATTCCACTTCAGCTAGTCACTAAATGTGCCCTGCTCGCTTTTTGGTGCTATGAAGATAGTGTACAGTGTGTCCCTAAATAATTAATTTTGCTCCAACTTGGATATTGTAATGGCTATAATTTTTCCTGTACAAATACAGTTTTTTGTAGTCCACATCAGTTCACATCTGGTTGGCACACATTATACAAATATTGTACTTTGCTTTTTATACACATACAGACAAACTTTATCAGAGATCAGTCTATCTCCATGCCAGCGTCTCCCTGAGTCCCGACACCCTTGCCAGTTGGCATCCCTGTCTGTTTTCATGCCAGCCCGACGGGTCTCCGCCCGG